AGGAAGGAAGGAAGGAAGGAAGGAAGGAAGGAAGGAAGGAAGGAAGGAAGGAAGGAAGGAAGGAAGAAAGAGAAAGAAAGAAAGAGAGAAAGAAAGAAAGAAAGAAAGAAAGAAAGAAAGAAAGAAAGAAAGAAGAAACGAATCCACTCTTGGCTATATGGTTCAGAGACAGCAAAATTTAGCTAAAAATACTTATTCTCGTGATTTTTAAATGTAGGAAAGAGCTGTCTTGTAAAACCGAAAGAATGAGTAGAAAGACTATAATGATCTGGTCCTGGAGACGGTTCGTGGGTTTTTTTTTTTTTCTTTTGTTTGCTAGCTGTGAGTTATGCTGTCTAATTTTCGCGGATGACCACCCAGCATAAGCACATTGTTCTAGGCGGTTTCATTTATAAACGTCCCTCTAACTGATTTTTTTTTAAACTCAGTGGGGCCACTTTTGGCCCAGCGGTTGGTCTGTAAGCTCTAGTCTACACCCACAACTAAAGTGGGTGAGGTCCCGGCCGGCGCTTACCCCGCCGACCACTGCAGCACGTCCACCGGCTGCGTGCGGATGGCAGCCTTGGTGAACTGCTTCAGAATGTCGGGCAGCTCCGGGGGGATGTGGATCTGCTGCGCGCAGAACATGGTGTCGGGCAGCGGCATCGTTCTGGGCAGACCGCGGCGGCCAGGGACGATCCGGTGTGCTGCGGGGAGGAGAGGCAGGGGTCAGCGCAGCGGCCGGTCTCCGCTTCTTCACCGGCTCCTCCGCCCGCTCCAGGGGAACTGAGGCTCAACCGCCCAACGCCCGAGCGCGCGCGATTGTGGCGTGCCGTCGGTATCCAGGCAACCGAGCTGCGCAGGCGCACGGCCTTGGCGAGCGTAGGGCGGACGCTGGGCCTAGTCAAAGTGTCCAGTGTGTTACCCGCCCCACCCCGCTCCCTGCAGAGGGGAGAGCGCCGTTTTCCTAAAACACAGGGGTTGAGCCAGTCTGGACCCCAGGAGGTCGCCAGCTGTCTTCTGATGAGACCAGGGCCTTTGCTTGGCGCCTCAAGCTGCGGACTAGGCTCTATTTGGTCCACACACACACACCGCCCCCCATATGAATACATGTTTCCAAACCAAAGCAGCTTTGGAAAAAAAAAACATTTAAGTTGATAGAATGGTTAAGAACTCTCAGATAGTGTTGACCGAAGCGTTCACATATCTGGGAACTACTGAATTTCCTGATGCCTTAGCTATATTGCTAATATAGCTATTAATATAAACTATTTATCCTATGCAAGAACTTAAGCTGGGGTTTAAAGAGTAGATAGAAATGCCCATTATTTAGTTAGGTAGGTTAACTCTCATTAACACCTAAATCATGGTCTCCATTCAAAGGAACGCAACGCGCTTTAGGTAAAATCGACCCAGTTCAAGCTGGGTGAGGGTGCACACAGCAGTTTCAGTAACCCAGGCTGGGGCAAGGCTGGGCTTCATCTGGGCTCCGAGTTGGGAGAGCAGCCTGGGCAACATTTCGTGTTTCATGAAGTAACCAGGTCTGTCCCCACCCCACACCACCACCACAAAAATTTAGGCACATGGCCGGTAAAGCTGGAGATACGGAGAACAATCGGGGTATCAAGGCACTTATTCTTTTTATTCTTAGAGAAGTCTCTTGCAGGTTTTAATTTTGGCAATTTTTCCTAAAATTAATTATATCTTTAAAAAAAAAAATGTGCCTACTATTGGCCTTCAAAAAAAAATTTCCTCCAGAAGTCACTGTTTTGGGCGTTACTTAGGACTGAATCATTTTGCCTTTAATTAATATTTATCTATGGTATCAACCCCTTTGCTTTTCATTCTGTAACCAACATCCAATTACTTCAGTTTTTCAGCAGTGAAGAACCCACTGTCTACCTATTGGAGGGTCTGCTTTACCCGACCCACAGACAGTTGAAAGGAACTGGCCTCCTAAGCAAAGAACAAGCGTGTGGTTCCTGAGCAAGAAGCTCCTGCTCCAAGGGTGTCCTAAACAACAAATGATGGCGAGCAGACACTTAGGCTCTATTATACAGGCAAGGGAAGAAAAAAATTCATAAATGGCTAAACAATGTAAACGACGCAAAGGTGACTGACTTGGTGACTGTGTACCTGTGGGTTTAAAGGAGGTGAGCGCCAAGAGGCAGCAGAAGGCTGATGGAGGAACTAGGTGTGCATCCGTGAGCAACTACAGATGCACAGAGGAAGCAGCTGGGTCCCATTGTGCTGGCCCAGGTGTCTGACTTCCCCTCCCATCTTTGGGTCATTGTGGTCCTTGAAGGCAGCCATCTTCCCTGAGAGACTATCTCCTAATCACTGTGTGTGCAACGAGTGGATAAGGAGAACTAACGGCCAATTGTTTTGAGTATCAATTTCCTTTGATGGAGACTTCCAACTTCACAGATTAAAGATATGTGATTCAGAGAGCGGGTTTCTCACCACTCCAACTTTAAGTAACAATGTATTTAATTAGGTGGAGATACGAAATTTGTTGAATGCTTTTGAGAAATCAAGATGTCTTCACTCTAAAGGAGAAAAGCTTTCCTTCTCTGGTATTTGGACAATGACCTAAAACGGTTTCTGACATGCACTTAGCAGTCTCCATCACAAATTGAAGGCTCATGGCATGAAGACGCAGGAAGGGGGCAGCTTCAGCCTGTGGTACAAGCAAAGAGGCCTCACTCCACTCAGCAGTGCGCTCCCCACTTAGGTTCAAAGTAAACACACACAACCAAAAAGAAAACAAGGCTACAACTAACATTCACTTTATTCAATTCTGTTCTCTTAACTCAGAAGGCAACAAAGGACCACATAAAAAAGGGAGCATTTTTGAATATATGTACATAAAATTGGTCTGGGTACAGGCGTCACGGTGATAGAAAATTGACATCCCACATCACTAGTGCTCTAGTCCACTCCTACAACAGACACACCGAGGCCTTAGTCATTCACTTCCATCTACGGCACACCAGGACTGTCAGGATTACAAAGTGAGGCACCCATACAGACAGGGGTGGAAACACACAGCACCACGGTACTGTCTACCCTTATACTAAAGCCAAAGCCACTGTTGGAGAGTGTTTGAAAAAAGCCCTCACTCATGACAGCTGTTTAAAGATTTGACACAGCAGCGACACGCTGAAAACAGAATATCTGATTGGCAGGGCAAATTAAGTGTGTGGATACAGGGCAGCTTAAGCAAAGAACTTAGAGACCCTTCACAAAAGAGGTCTTTAGTAACACTTCAGTGGTACTCTGCTTCGTCTTTTCCCTTGATAATGACTGAACAGTTAAGATTCTAGGCTTGTTTTAAACAAGAACTTTGAATGTCACAATGTAAAAGCGAGGCATCACAGACTAGCCTGATACCCTCCATCCTGGAGAGGAAAGGAGAAAGCTACTTCGCAGCACCGTGCTGACAAGTGCCAGAGTTCTTGCTTAAGGGCACCAGCTCCTGTGTCTGTAAACACAACAGTGTAGAAAAATCCAAATGCATCTTCTGTGTTTGTCTTAAAAATTCATCTGTTCAACCTAAACTTAAGAACCTACTTTAATGGCACATCTGTGCAACACAGACGACATGCCTAATAGATAAATTCATCAGTGGAAAGTTACTGTTACTTGTGTGAGGGGAAGGACGATCTAAGACTTCACAGTATTAAACCAAATGTTGAAATAAAAATCACTTGTTCACATCTGCAATAGAGATGTCCTATCTCCTCCTTTCCCCCAGAGCACGGGAGTGGGGGTGGGGGGGCACGACTATAAACACAGAACTTTAAGGCTAGCTACACACACATTTTACACTGGCATTTTCTTCCGCTTTCATCTAAACTATTAGTACTTTGTAGTTTAAAAATCAATCCATAATTTGTTAATAGCGAACAACTATACATTTCAAACTGACCATCTGATCACTGGTCATGTAAAACTAATCCCAAATGGTGATTTGTCTTCAAATTACAAATAATAAAGCACAAAGGTCTTTCCTAGTAAACTTCCTTGAAGACTGGATTAGCCCAACACAAAATGAAGCAGAAGTCTTTAAATTCCCTGTAAAAACAGGCAGCAAATAGGAACACAGTTTCTGAACTGAGCAGTTTTCAATGTTCATGACATTGGTGACTAAAAGCTGTATGCCACCCCAGCAAACATTATGCACAATAAACCCTTATGAGGACATATCTAACTGAAAGCCCCAGGATAAAGCAGAGCTGAAAACCCTGGAGGAATTCCACAGTAAGAGAGCACAGAGTCTCCTGCCAGTAAAATGGGGGCAAATTTTGGTAACCTGTACCGTTTGTGTTTGTTTTTCAACAACACAAGGTTCATTTAAAATTTTGGAGGATTAATAATTTTAAACTTTTTGTGGTAGATCTATAAATTCTTTAAAATTAAAAATGGATCGTAAACAATGTTATATGCCCAACTCACTGACATCTTTCTCCCCAAAAGACTGGTTTTTATAGACATATCCAGGGCAGGTGTCAGGGCATTTTAAAATGCTAAGTCTTTACAGCAGGACTCAGTCTGTGAGTGAAGGGGGCTGCTGGAAGGACCTTACTTTACACACAGGAGAAAGAACTGTTACAAAGTGACAGTGTTAACACTGGATCCCATGGCAAGCACTGTTTCTGTTTCAAATATACTGCAGTTTTAAAACAAAATATTTGCTTATCACTTAGTGAATAAAAACAATAAACAAAAGCAGAACACATCGCTCTGAATATTGGTAGCTTATGTTTGGCTTTTGTACTTAAAAAGAGGGGGGGGGGGGACCAAACCTTAGACCTTCCCATCTATGGGTTTTAATACTCCATGGAATTCTTTTACAGTCTATGACAGCTTCTAACACTACCCTTACAATACACCTTCACCATTAAACACTGGGATGATGGACCAACCATCCTAGTCTCTTCAACTTCACGGCTTGAGTATTCAGTTCTCCATGATCTCACAGCACTTCTCCAATGCAACTCCTTCCTATGTAGAAGACCAGCTCAGGCTGCTTCCTTTCTACAAACAAAACTTAGTTTTATTTGCAGTTTTCCATAAACAAAAAGCTTTGGAAACTGAGATTTCCTGACGTTTTCACTGAGCCTCAGCTGTGCACACTGACTGTCGGGTGTTCCAAGCCCCACACCACAGCCTAACGTTAGCCTCCCAGCTGTCACAATGTGTCACAATGTGGGCTGTTGGTGTTATCCCCTAAGATTTCTCACCTAGCATGACACTTCTGGCCACTGCTGACAGAAAGAGCGAGCTGTATGGAAGGGGAGGAGACTAATGAAAATCTTCATTGGTAGTTTATCTAAGTATAGACATGCCCCTAACAAGCATAAAACCCCAACTCCCAATGCTGATCACTAGGAATATTAAATTATCAAAATTAAAAATAATTTCCTCATCTAGCACAACATACTATACAATATTACAAACACAGACACATGAAAACAATCGGGCAGTAGAAAATGTACAACAGCTTTGGTGTTACACGGAATAACTTCCAAACATGACTGTCTGTGAGGCACTCTGTCCATGTCCCTTCCCAGACTCCACTGCTCATTCGGCTCCTGGTAAGGACTGACGAGCCAAGGACAGGATGCGGTTACCTGGTGAGAATTGCTGGCAACACCATCAACTGTGCTCCACAAGATGTCACTCAAAGTCTCGCCTATACACTACTGCTCTGTGGCACATTTCCTGTCGAGATCACAGCAGGTCCAAAATAAAGTGACAACTAGATTTAATAAATTAATATACATTTGTTAAAGATGTACAATGCACATTCTGTTTAATCCAAGGTTTCAGGGCGTCAAGGAACTCCTATTTACACATGTACAGAGGTCAGATAGCAGTGGTGTCGGCAGATGCAGGGAGGAGCAGCAGTGCCGGACGTGCTGCTCTCTGAACGCTGAGGACACAAGTCAAGTACAGTAACTTAAAACAACGCTGAGAGATCACAGGGAGAATCTCCAAAGTGAGAAGTCCACAAAAAAGGACACGGAAAGGCAAGGAGAAGGTCAAGGAGCTGAGATAAGCACTTTATTCTTGGGACGACTGTGGAGGTGGTGTGGACGGGCCTTGCTTGCCAGATTTGCGCTCATAGTTCACCAGGCGCTGCCCCACAAGGTACCTAGAGTGCAAAAACAGGGTGGTTACTTTCCTGTATGACTGACACTCTCTCTCTCTCTCTCTCTCTCTCTCTCTCTCTCTCTCTCTCTCTCTCACACACACACACACACACACACACACACACACACACACACCATTCTTGCAGGGAGCTGCCAGTGACACCTTGTTAAACGTACTCAGATCCACTTACTAGCACTCTCTCAAAAGGCAGGCCAGAGAAGAGCAAGGTGCAGCAAAGTCTTAGGTCGGGTGTGGTGTGTGGGAAAGTGCCAGAGGGTGGAGACTGCACACGATGTGCAGTGCCTTTACTGCAGTGGGGAGCTGAGGTCCAGAGTGGGTGCAGCAAACAGATGAAGAGCATTTTCTTGTTTCCATTGGTTAGGGCTCACACTACATAAGCCACCTTAGTGTTCAGATTTTAGGAAGCAGCCTACAGACATGACGGGCAAAGGGCTGGGATGTGAAAAACTCAGGACCTGAAACACTTTGGTTCTAGAGCAAAGGAGCAATGGAGGGAGCTGGTGAGACTGAATCATGTGACCGAACAGAGGAGTCTGCTAACTTACACGCTGTGAAGAGGGAAAGGCGATGGCAAACAGGGTGGGCTCTAGTTGTGAGGAACACAGTGGGGAGGCTGGAGAACCTCCACAAGGAGAGGAACATCTGCCCACCCGCAGCAGGACAGAGGAAGAGCTGCAAAGAGTAAGCAGATGTCCTGGGCCGCGACGCCTGAAGGTGGCAGGAGACAAAGCCAAGGGCATCAGCTGTCAGAGCTGGGCACGTGTATGTGGAGGCACCCGCTGCAGGCTCTGGGGCAGACCGGGGTGGGCCAGGAAAGCCATGCAGGTGCGTGCTCAGACTAGTGCATGCACGGAGCTGTCAGGCACAGAGGGCTGGGACCCCAGCTGATTTTTCAGTGATACAGGATGGTAATGTCGTGCCACGATTATTCTGAGGATAGGAAAGCATCCCACGACAAAGGCTTGGCACATGTTAAGAGGCTCAATACGGCCAGCTCTGGATTCTCACGATCATCTTCTAACCATTTCACGCATCTCTTTTCTGTCAATGCACACAATCCTCAAGACATCACTCAGCTTCTGCTGTTTATAAAGCTCACAAGTCTTACTGCTTCTGTATCCATGACCTCAGTATCTTAATTCTTTTTTCATGAAGTTAATCATTCTTTACCCCACTGCTCCCCGACAAAGCAGTGTTTTTTGAAACGGAGGATTTTATAAATGTCCTAAACTATGGTGCTATCTCGCAGAATACATGGAGCTCTATCCAGTACACATCATCACATGTACGTCACATCATCAGGATATGTCAAGAATGCGGGCGACAATGAACAAGCAAAGAAATACAAGTATATACACACTAAGTGATGGTGATTTGCTCAAGACACAAACTCATTCAATGACAGAAACAAGATTCTGAACTCATGTTCTACTCTTTCAACCTCCCTCCCTCCTGGAAGTCCATGTCCCCTTCTCTCTGTACCTCCTACAGATCAAGCTATGCCAAACGGTACATACACAGACACACAGCACATGCTAAAGAGTGCACTGGGCCACCGAATGGGAAATAAAGCGTGGACACTGGAACCCAAACCTTCTCCTCTTGGTGACACGGAAGAAGGAAGGTGGTGACGGGAGGGAGAAGGGATGACTGAGAGGGAAGAGGGAAGAGAAACAAAAATGATGCTTGAAAATACTATGATGAAGCAGTATTCTGTCTGCTAATTAAAAAATAATACACACATTAAGAGAGAGGTGAGCCCAGAGCTTGAGAAGACTGAAAAGGGTAAACATGAGGAAGGAAAGAGGTAGGAAACTCTGCAGTACTCCTACCAAAGCAGTACTTCAAAACTGACCACACTGAAAACCATCCTCTTTGATCCTGCAGGGGCACTGTCCTTTATACTCCGTCTGTCGGTACTTGTATTTGTATGTCATTACAGTTTTCAGAGACGCCTTGAACGATTTAACTTTCCTTCTTGAAAACATTTCTCTTAGTATCCTCAGAATAAGGAAGGCGGCTATGGACTCGGACTCAGACAGGCATGTACCAATGACGGGCAGCACTGTCAGCACTGACGTGATGGCTCCCAGGCCATCAGGCCCAGGCAGTTATAAACTTGCTTTCTTTGTAAGACACATGAGAGCACAGGACTCAGACTGCTCTGAAGCCATCGAAGTTCCCTAGTTTGATCCTTCCCAGGATGCCCTCCTCTCCAGCCACAAACACTCCATGCACTCAATCTGTTAGCTAACCCTGTTAATGCTACATACAAAGTACGCCCTCTTCATTTTTCTCATGGTTTATCATATTGAGCACAAAACCCACAAATGACATCACCTTAAGAGTAGCTAGATGAACAGAATTCTGGACTTACTTGTCATTTTTAATGTGTTCATAAAGGCGCTTAAACTGGCGGACCTGGAAGGACAGGATCCCCATCAACACAACGACCATCAATAAAAACGGGTAAATCCGCCGGTGGACTAAGTTCTGCATCTCCGCAGTAACACCTGGTCAACCAAACAAAGACAGTCTTATTAAAGCAAAAGAAAATGGACTAGTAGGCCTGTGGACTACGGTGAGGTCTGGCCTAGGACAGCAGAGAGACTTCACAAATGCTCTCAGACTCGAGGACTACACACAGGCAGTGAGTCTCACACTAACATCTGCTTCTTTTCTGTGAAATAACTTGAGTGCAGGTAGGTGCTTCACAAGTTTCATCAAATGCAAACATCCTGGACTCCACAAGCAGTTGGTGGTGTCATTTATGTATTTCAGCTGTATCACCATTAAAAACTGAAAATACTGTGCTTATACTATACAGAGAATGAACTCAATGGTAGAGTGCTTGCCTAGCCTAAGTGTGGCCTTAAGTTCCATTTCAAGCACTGAAAACAAACAAACAAACACTGTGCCTAAAAGATAGGAGATCTGACTAGGGATGAATTGGTACAGTGGTTGGCCAGCTGGGTTCGATACCCAGCAGCATTGCATAAAACCAGTCAGTGGAACACACATATAATCCCAGTGAAAGGGAGACAGAAGCAGGAGAACAGAAATCCCAGGTCCTCCTCACCTATACACCAAGTTCAAAGGCAGCCTAAACTACCTGAGACCCCACCTTCCCACAATTCCAAACACAGTATATGATCAAACATGTATTTGTTTTTATAACACTCAAATACTTCCTTTTCAACTTCCAGCTTGAGAATTTTAACTCTCCTTTGGAATAGGGGAGGGTTTAAAACCAGAGCAAGTATTCTGAAGGAAGTCTCACAACTGGTTTACCCTAAACATCATTCATCTACTGTGGTGAAAGGTCATGCACTCTGGAGCCCAGCGCAGCTAGAATCTCCCTTTCCTCTTCTTAAAATTTACAATTTGAGGAAGATGTTCAATCACTATGAACTTCAATTTCCTCACCTCTAAACTGAAGTTGATAAAAACCTTCAAGAGGTCTTCCAAGAACAAGAGACAGGGGTGGGGAGATGGGCTACACAGCAGAGGACCTGGGTCTGACCCTGAGCCCACAAGGGAAATTTTGGCATGATGGTGACACTTGTAGTAACATTGCTGCAGAGGCAGAAACAGACAGATCCTTGGCATTCAATGGCTAGCCAAGGTTGCCTATTAAGTGAGCTCCAGACCAATGAAAGACCCTGTTTCAAAATAAGATAGATTGTTCCTTATTGTTACCTAAGCAACAATATCCAAAGCTGCTCTCTGGCTTCCCCCAACACACAAACACACCATGAAGCATAACAACAGTAACTACGTAAAGCACCAAGACAGTGCCAATAAGTGCTTTATTATTCCTTTACTACTGCTACCCCTTTGATTATGAGTTTCCCAAGAGGTATAATAAAATTTACTTTTCTCCTTTTCATTGAGACAGGATCTTGCTATGTAGCACAAACTGGCCTCAAACTTAAGATTGTCAAGCTTCAGCCTCTTAAGTACTTGGATTATTAGGCTTAGTTATTAAAATAATTAATAAAATAAATTAATTGGAAATTTCTAATCCTTCCCTATGACAGTTTAGGTGTGGAAATCAAATAGTAATTTTGTGTGTGTGTGTGTGTGTGTGTGTGTGTGTGTGTGTGTGTGTGTGTGTGTGTGTGTGTGTTTTGAGACAGGGTTTCTCTGTGTAGCTTTGGCTGACCTGGAACTCCCTCTATAGACCAAGCTGGCGTCAAACTCAGAGATCTGCCTGCCTCTGCCTCCTGAGTGCTGGGATTAAAGGCGTGTGCCACCAATGCCCAACTTTAAATCGTGATTCTTGTGTATACAGTGTTCTGCCTGCATGTGTGCCTGCAGGCCAGAAGAGGGTACCAGATCTCATTACAGATGGTTGTGAGACACGATACGGTCACTGGGAATTGAACTCAGGACCTCTGGAAGAACAGCCAGTGTTCTTAACTGCTGAGCCATCTCTCCAGCCCCCAAATAGTGATTCCAACTCTACATACTATCAATGGGGAAACTGTAACATACTTCAATAAACATAGTAATATTTTAAAAAAAAAAAAAAAAAAAAAGCCAATAGGATATTCCAAACAGCCAAAATAGCAACAAACTAACTTTGGTTTAACGTTAGTATTTTTTTTTTGTTGTTGTTCTTCTAATAAACGTACTCTTTGAATTACCTACCTAGTAAAGGAACCACACCAGAAGCTATGACATACGGTACACACAGGGAAAGTAAGAGCACGGAGATCACTGGAGCCGCCAGCTTACGAATGATATAATGAAGGTCGATGTTCCGAATGCCATTCGCATAAACCTGAAATGTTAAAAAGCAATGGTTACGGTGTAGGTCATTAAATGTTCAGAGGATAAAGGTGACTGTCATCAAGTTTGATCTCTGGGACCCACAGAACAGCAGGAGAGAACTGACTCTCCCAACTTGTCCTCTAACCATCACATGACTGCTGGGGTACCCAGGAAACCCCAATCATCTTAGAAAAATGCTGCTATGTAGTTCTGCAGGAGAAAAAAATGGATGAAAGTGGGAAACCTTGAAAATGAAAAGCACTGTTGTAGACAGAGAAATAAGACAGAACTGTCTTTATTCTCTTCTCTTGGCTTCACGGCTTCTTAGAAGCCAGGGTGTGGCCCAAGCCAAGCCCTTATTCCAAGATCTGAAGAACAAGCAGGCTTAAGCCTCTAAAGACATGGTCTACCTCCTAGCAAAGCAACCTGCATGTACTATCACTAAGGAGCAGGCATCCCCGTGCTTCTCAGTCAGCCCTCATTATTTTCCTCATCTTGTGTCCCCTTGTCCCACGCCCCCCCACCCCCCACCCCCCGACTCTAAAATGCAACAGACAAAGGATCCCACAAACAATAACCTTTTGTGGCTCCCAGCTACAAATAAACACTATTTCCAGAGGTCTTTGCAAAGGTCAGAGAGTTTCAATTGGGAGACATTCCAGTGTACAAGCTCCTACTTCTACTAGCAGGGCTATGCTGCCACAGGCACACACATGGTAGCCTTCTGATGTACTATTTCCTGGCCCCACTCTTGGTCTAAGAATCAACAGCTTGAGGGTCCAGGACTACCTTCAATGATTTTCTCATGTACGCTGGCCAGAGAGAACTACTGACTTTAATTTCTAGACATCAGGAAGAGGTGGGTCTTAAAACTGCTGCAGACCTGTAAGACTATCTATCTAGCAATTTCCTAACAATAAAAAAGCTGAGCTACTCTGTAGTACATTTTCTAGATAACTAAAGTTTAAAAAAGCAAGTATAAAATAAATCTCTTCGTAGGCTATTTGGATAGAAGACATCTTTCTGAAATAAATTACTGTACATCCTATTGGTTAGCATTCAAAAGCACAATCCACTTTTTTCAAGGTTAGCACCATAATAACCAAGTTACCTGACAGTTCCCTAATAGAGCAACTGTCTTAGACACTATGTAACCAGAGTATTCCTAAGCAAGCCTGCCTCTATCTGTTATTGGAGTTTTGTCTAGTACAGGTGTAGAAGTAGGAATACATCAGAATATCTGCAGTGGAAAAATGACAAGGATCAGTTTTCCTTCACTTTAGACAAACCTGTAGGTATTTTAATTTACTGGCTAACCTCTGGGTGAGTTATGGGTGACTGACAAAAACCCACCATGGTGTGTGAAATCAGAATGAGCACTCAAGTGCCTTGACATCCTCAGCATAAGTATGGCAAGCAGCACCTGAAGCAGCACTTGTAGGAAATCCCCCTTTTCGCTCTTTACATAAAAGCAAGATACAAAGGGTGGCTCACCCTCCTGAGCCTACTAAGAAGGGCAAGTGTAACGCAGAGACAACATGAACCTTTATAGGCCTAGAAAGGACCACAGGAAACAACACTGATGAACCTCATTATGCCCTCTCTCGGCTTTTTCAACAGGGTCTCATGTGGCCCAGGCTGTTCCTGAACTTGCTATATAACTGAGGATGACCTTTGAACACATGATTTTCCTTTCACATCTCAAATGTTGTAAGTCAGGAACGCAGCAGCACACATGGCTATGGACCACTTCTTTATCATTTCTCTTCTTCTCCCAAGAAGCCGATTACGGTTTCAAAATTCCTTTTCTTTGGTTTATCTAAAATTTTGTTAGTCTTTCTTAAAAAATAATGTTATCAGCTAGAATTCAAAGCTACCTCTTTAATAATTACTTATTCTCAAGGCATATATTACTTTAACAGCCATAATATGAGAAAACAAAAGTGCCTCCTCCTTAAAAAAGGAAAAAGAGGCAGGCAAGCTGGCCACGTGGGTAAAAGTACTTGCTATGCAACCCTAATGACCGAAGTTTAATCCGAGAACCCCACAGTGGAAGGAGAAAACCGACTCCCAGCACGTGCACACACGCACGCATGCACAGAGAGAGAGGAAAAAAACTGTATGTGCACATTAATGAGAATAGAGAGCTCAGAAAAGCAGAAACATGAAAACTAAAATTCCATTAGCTAAATACAACCAGGACCTATTTCCCAGCAACTTTCTCTGAAACTGACTTCTTACCTGTTCAATGACAGTTTTCAACCACCACTGAGGACCCATCAGAGTGATAGCTGCGATAATTTTGGCATGCAGCACTCCTAGTGCCCAGTCCTATGGTTAGAGAAAATCAACAACACTTAACACATCTTCACTGACTTTGACGAAAGTCTACACGATGCTGTTCAGTTTCAGAACAGAAGCTGCACAGGACTGGGAATGCTGACAGCTTCTGGGAGAGAGAGAGTCAGTTTTCTTTAAGAGTTCTACGCTGACCAGGAGGAGGCAAACAGATCTCTATGAGTTCAAGGCCAGCCTGGTCTACAGAGTGAGTCCCAGGATAGCCAGAGCTGTTACACAGAGAAACTCTGTCTTGGGGAGAAAAAAAAAAAAAAAGAAGAGTTCTTCGCTGGTGGGTAAAGGCCACACACCCACAAGTATATACGGGTAGCACATATTTGATGGATTAAAAATACTTTTCTTCCCAAAGGAACAAAGTTGGGAGCCAGTGAGAGAAGGGGGGATGAATCTGGGAAGAGTGGAGGGAAGGAATGAATGTGATCAAAATAAAGTGTACAAAACTCTCAAAAAACAAAGAGCGGGGATTAATATATAAAAGCTCAAGATAAAGATAAATCTTTTAGAAACCTACATTATTCTCTCAAGAGAATATAGAAAAGTCTGGGCATTAATGGAGACCCCAACAAGCGAATAAAATGAATGCTATTATTTTATCAACCATACTTGTTGCTTGTCCTGTGTTATTGGTATGGACTGACCAAGTTATGTTGTAATAAGACATCTGGGGCCTAAGAAATTACTCCAAAGGCTCACAAGCTCAGGTATTTGTGGTGTTCCTGAACTGTTACCAGATCAAGACTATTTTCCACTCCCAGTACCATTGAAACTAAGGTCCTCATGGTACCCTGCCTCCAACCTCTCCCCTTCAGCTAGCCAGTGACTACCCTACCCGTCCCATCCCATCAAGACACTTTAAACAATGTACATCAGATCCTACAAGCATTAGTCCTTGCTTAGAAACATAAATCCTCATGACGACACAAAATACTCCCTTACATTTTTTTCTTAATTTCATTATTTATTTTGGGGAGACAGGGAACAAGTGCATCTCATGGCACATGTGTGGATCAGTTCTTCCATGAATCTGTGAGTCCATATATGTGAGTCCTGGACAGCAAGCTCAGTGAAGAGCAACATTTCAATCCAAAAGTATTCTGAGGGAGGGATTTGTAGAGCCTTTATATTTTAAAAGCAAGAGCAAAGTCATTACTTTAACATCTTTACAAGGGTTCCCAGAACTGAAAAACTAGCTTCCTAAACCAACTGTAAAAAGTAAACTAAGATATTCAAAGCTATTTTTTCTGATCTCAAACCATTAGCAACAATCACAAGGATAAGACACACATACCTGCCAAGGGTAGAAAAGGGGAGTCTGGTCAAGAGGGACCCTCAGAGGAGCAACAATAACCAGCTCAAACAGGAGCCCCAGTAGCAGTGGGACAACTCCGGCCAGCAGCACAGCAACTATCAAAGTCTTCATGATCTAGGAGCAAACAGGACACCTCATCATTACAGAGGAGACTCCGTTATAACAAACTCTAGTCCACTATCAGGCCTGATGCCCATGGGCAACTGTGCTATTTTAAAAAACATCTACACACACTTTTATGTTAGATACTTCAGTGGAGTTTCTTTTTTTAACGCATATATGTACATGTCCTGGAACATATGCAAATAGGGGCCAAAGGACCATCTCAAATGTCACCCCGTCCTTTAAGAAAGAGAGTCTCACTGGCCCAGAACTCATCAATTAGGCTAGGCTGGTTAGCCAGCGAACCCAGGCAGCAAGTACTCCTGTTTCTGCCTCTTCATAACTGAAATTACAAGAACACATCACCATACCCAGGATGTTATGTGGGTCCTGGAGACTGAATCTGGGTCCTTCCACATTGTTAGGCAAGAGTTTTATCAGACTAGTCATCCCCAAACCCATGAAGTGAACTTGTTGGAATGCATGAATGCAGAGCTCTAGCTGCAACAAAAACTATTACTACTATGGAATATTGCTGTAAAACAAAATTTTTCCAAAAATTTCATTTACTGTTCTATACAACTAACAAGATGACTTTGCTGTTTTCCTCAAAATATCCTTCTCAGTACTTGACTTTTATCTGCCTGCAAAAAAAATCTACTGATTCACCAGAGCACTGACCTAACAGCTACCTAACTCATAAACTGATCTGAGCCCTCAGATTCATCCTAACTCTATTTAAAGAAATTAATCAAGCCAATCAGACTGACCACATTAGAACAGTCTGGTTTTCTGATGAAAAAATAATCTGACCAATACATTAACGACTAGAGCTAGTGTATTTACTATGCAGCTTTAGAATTTGGATTAAGTAGCAAAATAAGAACAAATTGATAAAAGGAACTACAAAATACTTACAATGAAATCAGTCTTACAGTGACTCTGGGTTCTGGTGACCTCTTTACAATGTGGTTTCAGTGGACACAACTATTCTAACATATGACCATACATGGGATTGGTAGAGTAATACATACTACCTCTTTACATGGCATTTGTGACGATATAAAAGACTACCAAATAAAACTAAAATTAGCTGGTTTCTGTATTGAACATTGTTAAGTTGCTCATTATCCTAAGGATTAAGTAGCAATGAACTCCCTTCACTCATAATCTACAATAAATCTCTCACTACACACGTGGATTTTATCAATACACAGTAATGATACAATGGTGGAAAAAGGAAATATGCTAGTTTGATTAGAACACACCTCATATACACAGGTATTAATGAGTTAGCATGTAGGTGCAAATAAAAATTATAAAAATTAAGAATGGTTTCAGCATAAATATATAAACTCTAAGAGAAAGCAAAATATAAACTCAGATTACCCAAATGACTACATAAAGAAGTGCCCTACCGTGTTCATCAGCCCAGCCAACAGTGTGTACAGGTATGCATGCCCACACCCAGGTAAGGATCTAACTGTCTTTGACTTTGTGTGAAATCAGGGTTTGAGATTACTTGTTCATTACTTGTGCATTCACATCTCCAAAAGCATTTTCTATAATTCTTAATTATTTCACAAGATCACTTAGCAGCATTCTTCTGTTAACTCAAGTGCATCTGGGTACAGAACTGTGGCTTTCAAGTGAAATGGAAGGTTACTACCTTAAAGGAACAGTCATTCTGACAAAAAGATAAACTCTCCTGAAAGACAGTGACAGAGAGAAGATAAATGGGAAGTAGCTGTTAAAGCATTGACGACCATCAGACAGGACCAATCTCTTACTACAGAAACCTACCATGAGGGACCACTCTTTAACCTTCTGGAAAATCACTCTGCGTCCTTGCGGCATCCAGGCCACCAGCACCGTCACCGCCCTTATGGTTAGCCAACATACATAGAGACCACAAGCAGCCGTGTACAGCTCGTGGATTTTGGCAGTCCCCGTCCAAAATGACATTAACCAACGGCCAGCAAATACTGAAAATAGAAAGGCTGACAAATGAGACATGTGGCTAGGTAAAGAGAACTGTAATCTTGACATTCTGTAAATATTTTCACATCAGAATAAACAAAAACAATTCTCTAGAAAACAGAATCACTTCATTAAGAAATACCTGAACACAGGGAATCAATGAGCCGACTCTCCCAGAAATGCACGCTGGCATGCCATGCCCTTTACCAATTTCCCCTGTCCTATCCTGGGAAGTTAGGAGCATTGGTGCTTTCATTATTTTTACTGCCAACTAAAATTATGAGCTAATAGGATAAAGATAGAAATTTTATATTGTTTGTGCTGTCAACACTTTATCTAGGAACCTTATAAACAATTTAGGTTTTCTTCCAAATAATCCTGTCATTTGCACAGAACACTCAGTTTTATAAAATAAAGGAGTGGGCACAATAACATTTCAAAACACAGTATCAAAGAATACTGTATAAACCTTCTTTTAAAAAATCAACACCAAAATAGAACAACAAGACTGGTTTGAAATCTCCCTAAAGGTTGTTAGTTTTGTGCTTTGTCTTCTGTTTTGAGACAGGGCTTGACACTATAGTCGAAGGTGGTCTGAAATTCAAATGCAGTCTTCCTGCCTCAGCTTCCTGAGTGCTGGGATCTCAAGTGTGTATCACAGGGACAGCAAAGACTGGTTGGGAATAAACTCTATGGTACAGCCACCCAGTAAACTGCTCAAGCATATCATTTGTAGGATTTTTTAACTTTCTGTACATAACTGATTGTCAATAAAGCTGACTACAATCTCTAGTGTTCTCTTATGGACTGCCTTCCTTTCCAGTACTGTGCCTGAACACCTAAACAGAGCTGGTCAGTGCATGAGCACTTTCACCTATCCTCTCATTCATGCTCCGATGGTCAACCATTCATCCAACACAGACATGACCTTCACCTCAAAGTGAAGAAGCAAGGCTCAGCCACAGGCCTTGACCCAGCAGTTACAGAGTAGAAGATAGATCTGAATGTGTGTCTACATGATAAAGCTCATGTTTTTGCCTGGTAAACCGTATAATACCTCTAGTCAAACTAAGCTGGCTCAACAGTCAAACATTACAAGCCATACCATAATAAGCACAGACTTCTCATCATCTCACAAACTAGTCTGAACATGGAAATAGCTCTTTTACAGACAAACACTGCACTGGGCGTACAGTAAGGCATTCGTTAAGCCTGAGGTTCAACCAACAAAAAAAGAGGATGGATATATTTGTTCCATGAAATAAGTAAATGTGCATATTAATCCTAAGACACCAAAATCACCACTGACACCCTGCCAAAGTGTTTAGTGCTCTTTGTAAGTGTCCACTCTAGGGTTTGTCTCTGAAATGTCTCTATTAGTTTGACATTTAATGGCCAATTTCTATTCTCTCTCTTCCTTCTGTCCTTCTCTCCCTTCCCTCTGCTTCTGAGAAGACGGGTAGCTTTCAGCCAATCAGTTAAGTTGTAGCTAAGGGAAGTAACATATGGGAAGAAGCAAGACTCCATTAGCCTCAAATGTGCACCTTGTCAAAGCTCTTCTGTAATGAACTAAAACTACTCTTTCTACCATGTAGGACTAGATTAAAGGAAAATGTTTAAATAACCATATTCAATGATGCTGAATTACTTTCATATTACTAAATTCAAACATAAAAACTAGTTTCTTTTATTTATTTTTTAAATACTGGTAAAACCATGGGAATGGAACATAACAACTCTGAGGATGTTCACATTGTAGCTAGGTAGTTAGCCAGCTGGGCTGGAAGAAGGACAAGGAAGCTTCAAGTCTTACAAGGTCAGAAGTCTTCCCGTAGAGTGTTCAGCCAAGAGGACGTTTGCATCACACATACCCCCAGTCCCCACGGCTCAGAGACCATTGAGGAAGAGGGAACAGAAAAGGTCAAACACAGCAGAACAGGCCCACTACACTCACAAACTCACAGCAGCTGTGTTTGCTGGCACATGATCTCAACAGGATCAAGCCAATCGACTTCTAGCACCGAGTAGGAAGGAGTTCATGAGCCCTACCCCTAACTGGGGAACAGCTGATGGCTACTAGGGAAGACTCTGTTTTCTGTAAGGGTAGGGGCTCCTGACAGGTCGACCACTCTATAGTGCTGGGCGGTGGTGGCACATGCCTTTAATCCCAGCACTTGGGAGGCTGAGGCCAGTCTGGTCTACAGAGCAAGTTCCAGGACAGCTAGAGCTACACAGAGAAACCCTGTCTCGAAAAATCAAAATAAAATAAAATTCTCAAAGAATCAATAAAAATCTTTTAAAAGTCTCCATGTAGAAATAGTAAAACTTCACTTTTAAGCAAATGAAGGTAAAAATCATAATTTCTCCAAATTAATAATTTTTTTAATTTTTAGAAACATCACTTTAAATTAATTTTAATGTCCCTAGTTATTCTTTCCCAGCCTTATAACTACTCATGGAACAAATTTTAATACAAATTTGATGTATAAAATTATTGAGCTAGTATTATAATCAAGAATCATTCACTATACCATTTAGTGGTTAATAACTATCAGTATTATTTGGAAAGTCTTGACTGGACATAAACAACAGGACAAGTTATTCTGTGATTTGTCACTGGCTTTGTACACTCCATCCCACTGATAGCTGACCTCTGGAGAGGACGGCAAGCTACTGTATCCAACCAGAGAGGTTCACTGGTTAGATGAAGAAATCCTGCTGGTTGGTGGAAATTTTTAGCAAAGTCAAGGCCAGAGAAGATCAACATTTGTGAATCCCAGAGTTGAGGAAACAGTCTAACTTTATAAAGTTCTTTACATACTGACTGAGAAAATGTCTTAAGTCTTACAAATGACTTTGAAAACCCACAGTATGATGCACCATGAAAACTGAGAGGCTGTAGTGCCATGCTCTAGAATAAACCCACAACTGTTTTTGGAGCTGGTGAACCTATGCACTGTGGAGTCCAACAGGATGAAGTACCCCTAAGGGATCAATAGCCTATGAACCAAACGACTATTTCCATTTCTATTTGACGACAAATCTCTTCTCCATAAGATATACCCTGCTTTGAGAAAAGAATCTTAACATTTAATAGCTGAATGCGAGGATAAACTCATACCTGGTAAGGTAAGGCAAATGAGGCTGGCAATTAGTAATGTTATGCACATGAAGACAATCAGCAGAAATATCTGCAAGAAAAAAACAGCGGTCGTAAGTGGTTCACATGTCCTCAATGTATTCTGCTACTCCTCAAAGAATCCACATAACACTCCCACTATAAAAGCCTGCCACTGGGAAAGGGACACATGCCTGTAATCCCAGAATTGATGAGGAAGAAAGAGGAGAGGGAGGCGGCCTGCACCTGTGCTCTCGGGGGAGGGAGGCGGCCTATGGAAAGTAAGTGTTTTCACACAATCCGATAGACCCACAATAAAGAAGCAAACATTTATACTCAGTAAAACAAACTCAACCAAAATTCAGTATTAACAAATTTAAAATATCCATCCTTCTAAACAGTGCTGTTCAATTAGATGTCCTGTGTGGTGATAGAGACATCTAGTTCTGCACTGTCCAACACAGCAGCCACTGGCCACGTGTGGCTATTGAGCTCCTGACATGTGAATAGTGTTGTGTAATGATTTTAAATTTTATTTTCATTACTCTTAACTATAAATAAATACATATAGCCATTGGCTACTGTCTTGGGAAGTAACGATGGAACAACAGTGCACACAACAGCACACACAGGGAAGAGGAGCCCCCTCTCCTGGGCTGAAAGGCTGCACTGTAGTTCATTTTCTACCTTACCAGGTACACCTTCCCAAGACCAGAGGGCAGAATTCTTGAAAAAAAGCTCATTAACACTCTAACTTTGCCTGCCTGAACAGCCTTCGTGATTCTGTCTCCAATGGCCTTTTTCCCCCTAATTCAGCAAGAGGGCTGAGTGAAGACCACGGAATAATGAAACAGGTGTTCACTGTGAGGTCTGCTTTTAGGATCCACAGAAAAAGGAACCTTCTTGTTTCCTTCCCCACTGTAAGCAACATTTTCTAGAATATGTTGTTGCAACAAAATAGATGTGTTTCTCAGTAGGCAGGAAGCACAAAATCACGAGTGCCAACTACTGTACACATGATGTTCAAGACTCTCCACTTGGCTGCAGCCCATCCAAGAGTCCTGTCTGCCACTGCTTCCTTTGTCCCTCATCTTTCCTCTGCATACACCCCCATCCTCTAAATTACAATCAGTTATCCCCAGTTCCAAGCTTACCATGTCCCAGGTGCCCTTTCCTGGCATATGCCTGGAATGCCCTTCCTACTTTCCACTTCTTAATCTGCTTGCCCTTTCAGCACTAAAGACAGCTTGGGTATCACCTTCCCCATGAAGAGTTCTATGCACTTGTATTACAAACCAGTGCCCTCAGTAAACATCTACTCTGACAACCCCAATCTGCTATTATTTGGTTTTGATTTTTAATCTCCCAAAGTTCTCTGAAAGTGGTTTCAGGGCAAAGACTGCATGCATGATCTCTATAATCCTAATACTCATCAAAAATACCACAGACACTCAAGGTGTGCTTAGACAATGGCTACATATGACCCACAGGTAATCGAAAAATAAGATGACTATTTTTACAAAAAAAAGAACTGAGGATAAGAGGTTTAAAAAAATCTACCCAAATTTCAAAATAATCAGACTCATAACCTCAAACCATTATAAACAGGGATTTGAAATACAACAAATTGCATGTAAATGGCACTAATCATCAGGTTAAATTTCTGACAGGATTGTGAATCACAGAATGACTGCCAGCTTCAAGACCATGAAACAGGCATATTTTCAGCCAAGCTGGTCTTCAGTTTCATTAGATATCAACATGAGATGACCACCCTCATCTGGCACATGCCAGGTCCTTAAGTATATACTGGACATGGTAAGCTTGCAATTACAGATAACAGAATATATTTAGGAGATGGTATATGCAGAGGAGAGGTCTGGGATGGGCAGGAGCCAGAGAGAAGAGCCTTGAAGACCATACACACACTACTCCACACTCACTGCATTGTGCTTTGTGGGCCTTTGCCCTACTGAGGAACACAGTTCTGTTCAAATCCAATAGTTTCAAGTGGTGGGGATTAAATCAGAGGCAAACACTAACATGTCATTACAGTTCCTGACACACACCTGAAATGTTATCCATCTCGCTAGCTTCTAATTTACAATCTTTTTTTCTCAAACAACAAGAGCTAAAGTCCATAGAATCCTAATTACACACAGTATCCATCTCTAAAACCTGGTAACTTATTTTGAACATCAAAGCTGCATGAGTAATAAAATAGGTTTGTTTCCAGGAACCATAAAGCATAACTACACAGCACCAATTTAACAACATTAATTCTCAAAAGAAAATTGAAAGAAAAGACTAATATACAGAAATCAGGCTATATAGACTTACCCTGAGTGGGAAATTAAAAGGCCGGCGGTAAGGCTGAAAGCCAACAGGTCCTCCCTGCTGGAGTATGGCTTGGTGGGCTGCATGCAGACCCTCCCCAGCAGGAACAGCATTGTTGTTTCGAGCAGGCTGGTTGTTGTTGACCTGCTGATTTGCACTGTTCTCATTTTCTTCCTGGTCTCCCAGTAAGTAGGAATGAAGGTCCCTACATAGAAGTTACACCAGTGAGTCTCATTTCAGGTCAGAGTGACAATGACAAGCATAGTGTACTTTCTTAAAGGACAGAAAACGTGTATGTGGATTCTATAGAGACCATTGCTCCTGCTATCTAGACTAAATGCTAGTGTCTGCGTCAAATTAAACTCTTCCAACTATGTTAGCTAGCTTGTGGGACACTCCACAAATTCAACCTATTTTGTCTCCTCACCCAACATCTGGGAAAAAAGTCAGTGATTTAGAGGAAAACATAGACAGTTGGCATTAGGCTCCAGAGTGAAAATCTTTTTCTTCTTCCCAAATGATTGCTGTGTCTCCTGTACAAGCTACAAATCAATTTAGACAAGGATAGCACTGGAGAGAAGGATGGTGTTTTATCAAATATAACCAACTCTACACCACACAGTAATTTGCCACAGTTGGCCAAATATTTCACAGAAACTCCCTTATCTCATAGACTCAATAAATTCAGCTCAATAAATACAAATGGTTGTGGGGATTAACCCTGATCATCAACCTGACAAGATCTAGAGTCATAGTGTTGGCCAGTTTTATGTGTCAACTTGACACAGGCTACAGTCATCTGGGAAGAAGGAACATAATAAATTAAGAATATGCCCCCATGAGACTGGCCTGTGAATAAGCCTATAGTGCATTTTCTTGATTAGTGATTGATGAGGGAGGGCCTATCCCACAGAGGGTGGGTGCCATCCCTGGGTGAGTGGTTTGGGGATGGGGTGAGTATAAGAAATAGGATGATAAAGCCCTAAGAACCAAGCCACTAAACAGCATTCCTTCATGGCCTCTGCATCCATCCTGCCTACAGGTTCTTGCCTTGAGTTCTTACCCTCACTTCCTTTGGTGATAGACTGCTACCTGGAAGTGTAAGATGAAATAAACCCTCTCCTCCCAAAGTTGCTTTTGGTCATGGTGTTTTATTATAGCACTGGAAATCTTAATTAAGACAAAACCTAGGAGACAGGCCTCTGGAATGCCCATGAGAGAATGTCTAAATTAGGCTAAGGTGGAAAGAACCATCCTAAAAGTGGGTGATACCATTCACTGGGAAGGCCAAGGATCCTGAACAGAATAAATTAGGAAAGCTAGCCGTGGACTAGCATTTCTTTCTCTCTGCTTCCTGAATGCAAATGTTATGTGAGTAGATGCCTCAAGCTCCTACTGCCAAGACTTCCCCACCACAATGACCTCTACCCTCAAAATGTAAGCCAAAACAAACACGCTCCCTTAATCTGCTTCTGTTGGGTATTTATCACAGCCACATGAAAAGTAACTAAGTAACAAACAAGAAATCAAACCTTAGAAACTTTCTTTACCTGGTTAGCATCCCTAACAAAGTAAATAATAAAATAAAGGTAAGTTAGCTTGTCTTTAAATGCACCGCATTTTTTAACTTTTAAGTTAATTTGTATTGATGGAACGGTCACATTCCTATATAAGCACACCATGCAGTCTAACTGTGCTGCTGGCCCCAATACCCTTTGTTTGCCACATCTAACAGCACAAAAGAAGGTGCAGCAGTGAGCCTGCACCAGGAGACAGGGTGCACACACCCTCCTTGAAAGGTAACCTGTGGAAAGCACTCAGCTGTTATTAAACCTAGGGGTTTCTAAATGTTTTTATTTACATGTGTGCATGTGTGTATATGCCATATGTGTGGAGGTGCCCACAGAGTCAGAAAAGGTGTCAGATCCCCAGAGTTGGACTCACAGACAGTTGGGGGAGCCTGACATTAGTTCTGGGAATGAACTGGGTCCGGTGGAAGAATAGCAAGAACCCTTACTGCTGAGCCATCTCTCCGGACTCTAAAACTACTTTTTATTGACTGGAATGCAGAACACACTTCTTTCAGGAAGGTTATAAAACAAGATAGGCCATGGTAGCACACGACTGTACTCTCAGTATCAAGAAGACTGGGGCATGAGGACTCTATGGTAAGACTGTCTCAAAATTAAAAATAAAATATGGGGCTAGAGATGTCACTCAGTGGTATAGCATTTGTATAGTATGTATAAGGTCCTGGCTTCAATCCCCAGTATCAAAAAAAAAAAAAGGAAAAAAGAAGTTTTAGAGATAGACAACACAGAAGCCCAGGGAGCCAGCTGCCATACTCACAGCAAGTATCCAGCGGTAACGGTCCATGCACGCACAAGCCCCTTCAGCCACTGCCTCGTGTGTCCCTGTTCCAGCAATGCTGGCAAGACGACCTGCAGCAGGAGCAGCTCAAGGGACAGCTCACTCACTGGAGCATCACTACAACAGTTACAGGTTTATGACATGAGTCCTATTTCCATTATGATTTATAAAACATCTCATCAGATTAAACAAATCTCCAAGGCAAATGAACCCATTGTCTTTATTGCTTTTCTCCCACTCGCTCTTCAAGTCAGTGAGGCTATCCTCCCAGACTCTACTGAAGCTGCTCCTGGTCCCTTGGTGTCCATGCCACTGTGCTCACTTACACTGTGAGAGCAGCATGTTAGAGCTGCTCACTCATCCTCCTAACTAGCTGCTTCCCCAGTCTAGAAATATGAGGCCCCGTTCTGTCCTCTTTTTCAACTAAGCTTATTCCTTGTGTGACTGTGACTTGCATACCACCTTCATTTACTACTGATATTTCTTCCCTGACTCCTAACTTGTATATCCACGTCGGAACTCAGTGCACCACATTGATGTGCACTTAGAACAAGCATCCAACCAAACCATTCATCTCTTCCCACTGTCACCTCAATACATTAAGCCCATGCTTCCCATGCTAAGAAAGAACTTCTGATTTCTGACTTCCTTCTTTACACCTCACATCCACACTGCTGGACTCATTTTGACTCTTAGCTTCCACTGCTACCTCCTTCACCTGTGCCCTTCCCATCTCCACTTAGGATCATCACATTCTCTTCTGGCTACCCTCCTGCTTCTAACCTCATCACTCTCACTCTCTCTCTCATCACTGAGGAGCCAGAGTGAGCCTGATAGTCAAAGTGCTAATTACAGCCTCCAAGACTCAAAAAGCTGGCTTTCAAGGACTTCTCTGACTTCATACCCAACTATTGTGCTCTCTCCTCCTTAGCCAAACTAGCCTGTCAAACAGATCTGGGTGCTACTGTGCCCACCTGAGTCACTCTCAAGGGATGCACATGACTCAGCACCCCTTCCTCACCTCCCTTCAAGGCTTTCCTCAACTGTCACCTCTGTCTATCAGTTACTCCTAAATTAAAACCCCATTCTGGGCATTCTCTATTCTTTTCTCTCCTTTTCCCTAGCAGTAATGATTATTAAGCACATCACATGTCTTATCTATTTAAAAGCCGTTCTCCTTGCCCCAAAACATAACCTCTACTATGGAGGAACTACTGACAACTTTTTAAGAGAGTAATAATACACCTAAACTTTCAGAAAATCTAGACAGCAGGGATGAGGGTGGGATATAAATGGAGAGCAAAGGGAGACGGAAACTAAGCTACTAAGTGGTAACAAATTGGTTTAGTGCAAGGTCTTAAGGAGTTGGAACCCACAAAACTTAAAAGGACAGAAGTAAACTTAGGGAAACAATCTCATTCCCCATAGTTTGAGGAGAAATCTGGGGTAATGAAGTCACTGGAAAGTCTAAACCCAAAAGGATGAAAGCCTTGAGTCTTATTTTTAGTTAATAGTTAAAGATGTACACAAAGAAAAAAACAATGCTACTAATTCTCACTAAACGTGGTAACTTTCTAAACAAATGCAAAAATAAATCTTCCTTTGAAAAATGTAACTATTAGCATGTATATGACTGAGAGTATGGCAAAATGGAACTATCACATAAAATGTTTAATGTAATTTGAATATTAAATTCCCAATAGTGACAGATCATTATAGTTTTTCTAAGTTTTAAAAATGTATCTATAGGGTTGGGGATGCCACTCAGTCGTAAGGTACTTGCTTACCATACTAGCACTGAGTTCAAGCCCCCAAACCACCAAAATAACAACAAAATTCTTACCTGTAGAGCATGACATTGTAGGGAAGAAAATTAGGCAAGAGACTCTTAATTATACGTATAGGAAGCCAGAGCATCAGAAGTACAATGGAGCCAAAGACAATCTGCAGTAAGAAACATGCACAATCCCACTGTGAGTCCAGCAAGCTACTTGGTAAGTGCATTCCACTGGCTGAGGTAAATACAGTCAGTGTGCTCCCCAGCCCTCCCAATCTAAAAGGATACAAAGAACAACAACACTGTATGAAATTAAGATAGCATTGGATTTAAAAAAAAAAAAAAAAAAGGTCTGCTCACCACTGACAAAATAAATCTTCGGAGATGCCTATAAATGGGCAAGTGGATCATTTCCTGTACTGGATTAAAATCTGGATCATTCAAATTCCTTAAAAACCATAAGACACCAGGTCGAAGTACCTGCAAATATATTTAAAGTGTGATCGGTACCCAGAAAAATAAGGTCCTAAAGAATTCACAACTGTCAATGGAAAAAGAAGTTCCTTAGCTAGAAATTCTATCAAACTACTGTGCTTTTAATGACTTTTGATGCTTTTAATCGAAAACTGGAAAACACTCACTGAGACCAATTTATTAAGAAATCTGGATCACTGAGGTAAAAATATAAACATTACTACATACTATACGATGTATAGTATTTAGGGGAAGGATCCTGACCCACCCCCTATCCTCCTCAAATTTTTCAGAGTAAAGCACAAATGACATTCAGCCTCTGTGATTTCACATTCCATTGCCAGTGGCTTTGTAGGCTTTCTCCTCATCACCAGTCTTGGTAAATAAGGTAAGCTAATTTGTGCAAAGGATTTATTCATTTCCAAAAACAAAGGAGAACAGGAATTGTGCCTTTGTTTCTCATTATTACCCCAGCATAGAGGATAGAATCTGGAACTTGAGATGCATATTAAGGAAACACTAATCTTCCTTCGTTTTTAAACCAGTTAGAACAGGATCTGGGAAGGTACCCACCTGGCAAGTAAACTGGGATCATAAAGGATCCTCACTGTAATTCTATATTTCAAATGTCAGTTCCTAAATATTTCAATATTTTCAATTCTATGAAACTTCTCTTGGGATGAAGTCTAAGATCAGTTTATTATATACCACTTTTAGGAGTTTACAACAGAGGGTAAGTATGACATATATCAAGTAAGAACTTTAGTTTTTAATTAGCCTTGATCATTTTTAAAACTATAACATGCCATTTTTGACATAAAAATCAATTTAAAGTAATCAAACCAAACTCTGTTAGTTATTCCCTCTTAGAATAGTAGAGAATATGGTTTAGTTAGGAAAATACCCTACCTAACTTTTGAGGGATGACTGGGTGTCAGTGCTGTGGGAATTCACTCCAACCATGACCTTGGGGTATCTGGCCCAATAAAAGCATGATTTTTTTTTTCTGGGTATGTGACTGCTTAAAACTGAGGAGGAGGCTGCGGCGAGTACTCATCCTCTCTTAGGGTGGTTGGAAACTGGACGGCTGGTCCCGTTGATCTCCAGGCAGAATGGAGGAGGACAACAGCCGTTTACTTTGTTCTGTATCCTCCCCATTTTTTTTTAAAAAAAAAATCTATCTATTTATTTACTTACATACTTACTTATTTGTCAGTTTTTTGAGACATAGTTTCTCTATGTAGCTTTGCGCCTTTCCTGGAACTCATTCTGTAGCCCAGGCTGGCCTCGAACTCACAGAGATCTATCTGCCTGGTTCTGCCTCTCAAGTGCTGGGATTAAAGGTGTGTGCCACCACTGCCCAGCTTCCCATTTTATATCTTAATAAGTCCTTGATACCCTTTAACAGACTCTCGTGGATTCGCTTATTAGGTCAAAGCAAATCTCTTCTAAAAAATGCAGAGCACCAACACTTCACTATAGGACCTACCTCTCTCAGTAACAGAATGAAGGAGGCAAAGTAGAACACATACACCATTCCCACCAGCCAGTGCAGAAACATGGTAGTTCCTGGAGCTGACTGAAAGCTCAGTTCTCGATCTTTCAGAGTAGCATCAAACATTTCCTGAGACAAAACAGAACAGGTTACAGATCTGTGCTACCTACACAATGCCTAGTACTTCCACCATTAAGAGTCAGATCACCCACCAAATGCACGTAATGTCAATGTTTTCGGTTTTCAGTTCTCTTAATGCCATTTCACAGTGCCACAGGCTATATAAGAGTATATAGTACTTTAAAATCTTGAAGCATGGGCAGACAATGTGGCTCAGTGGGTAAAGGCACTTGCTACCAAGCCTGATAACCTGAGTTTGATATCCCTGAGATTCACATGGTAAAGAGAGTGGACGCCTGCAAGTTGGGCTCTCACCGTTATATGAGTAAATACTCAAAATAAATACTGCCATTAAAAATCATGAAGGATAAACAACTAGTTTCACTGGTTCATTTCTTTTCTGTGACATGGTCTCATGTATCTTAGGCCAGCCTGGAACTTGCTCTGCAGCTGAAGGGATCCTGGGCGTCCTGACCCTCCGAGCTATCACACTCAGGACTTCATGCATCCTAGGCTAGCATTCTACCAACTGACCTAGGCTTTCAGGCCTTTACTAGTAAAAACTACTACATAGGATCTTCATTTCTTAGTTACAGGTCTTCTTTCACAAAAGGTTTTAAATAATAAAGAATAAGAGTAAACATCAATCTCAGAACCAAGAACAGCTTTTCTACATATATTCTGAAAAATCAAAACTAAAAACAATTAAAATTTAGTATCATAGTTTTAAAAACTGGCCAACATTAGTATAAAATTTAGGAGGGAAGAATGAGTAACAAAATTCTCCAATAGTTATAAAAGCTCCAATCAAAATACCCTGACATTCAAATACATACAAGACATTAAATAATACTCAAGACAAATTAATGACATTTAGACTCAATAGTGTTACATTCTAAGAATAAGTAAATCACTTTTCTTTAAAAGGAATGTTTTCTAAAGACTTTTTGAAGCTTTGAAATGAAATTATGACAGTGGGTGCTCAACTCACCAGAGAACAAATATCCAGCCACCAGCCACAAATGAGAGGGAACACTCCAATTTCTACCACAACTAACAAAGAAACCTTAATTAAATAAAAATAAAGGTCATCAGTATCAACCAAATGGAGATCAAACCACTTTGAGCTTTCATTTACAATTGGATTACCTTAACTACAATATAGCAGACTCCCAGCAAGCGTCGAGACCTATGAAACTTAACAAGAGTTGCCAAGGCCTGTAGCATCAAGTCAAGGAGACACTGAACACTTGAGAATGGGAGACAAAAAAACTCTTCAGGTTATACTAAATGTAATAACAAATTTCATTTATTTCTAATTCTTCCTATACTCATCCCTTCACAAACACTAGCTCTTATAAAGACATAGGGGAAAGCAGCTTTGTTATTAATGAGAACTCTTTGGTATGAATGGCACTGTACCTCCAAGCTGACTCATTAAAGGATACATGACAAATTATCAGCGTTATTGCTAAAAGTATATATCCAACAATTGTTGTGATTAGACCTTCAAAATGAGATGCTTGGACCTGAAAATAAAACAAATAAATAAGATAAAGCTTTCCCTCGTGGTTGATAACCCAGCTTTTAAGTATACTAAGTGATCTGAATGATAGACAGTAAACTGCTGCTTCAAGATATTTATAATTTAAAAACTGAAATCTCCTTTATGAAGAATCTGGAAACCAGACCCTCTCATATATAGACTGCCAAATATTACTGAAGACTGATGGACAGTAAAGAATAACATTTTATCAAGAGTCAAAATAAGAGAGTGAATGAAATTTCCCAATAAGACCACAATCTTAACGCCAGCCCTTATTCTCACAAAGGTGCATTTGCTAAGAGCTGACTGCTAGCATACTGCCCAGCTTGCCCACCAACCTGCTAACAATCTGACCACATCATCTCATACCCTTAGAAGTAATTGTTTAAGCTTCTCTAACTCTTCATTGCTGGTCTAGAGGCTTGCAGAAAGAAAAAATTGGAGAATGACAAACATTTCTCATTCATATCTTTTCATTTCCTGAGTTATGTGTAATAAGTAGCAACAGTTCATAAAGTCAGTAGGTTCTCACAAGCAACTAATAAGAGGCATCAGAGCAGTAGAAGATAATGGAACATTCCCAAAAGTGATCCAAGAACTCACACACACAAAGGAAACAAAAGACCCCAGAGTCAGCTCTTCCTTAAAAGAGAAATCCTCAGAGTCCACAAAGTAGCCATACTCCATGGATCTTTCAAAACCCCAGCTGTGGTAGTCCCTTCTTAGTACAAAAGACAGTCTCTTATTCATGGGCAATGTCATCACCATCTAATTGCTATCAGAGTCAGACATGCACATTAACACTCTTTTGTGGTGGTATTGTGTTCCCCAAAATATTGTGTACTCTAATAAATTTATCTGGGGTCAGAGAACAGACAGCCACTAGATACAAAGGCTAGAAAATGGTGGCACTCACACCTTTAATCCTAGCATTCCAGAGATAGAAATCCCTCTGGATCTCTGTGAGTTCAAGGCCACATTGGAAATAGCCAAGCACGGTGACACACGCCTTTAATCCCAGAAAGCCAGCCTTTAATCCCAGGGAGTGGTGGTAGAAAGCAGAAAGATATATAAGGCGTGAGAACCAGAAACTAGAAGCATTTGGCTGGCTAAGCATTTTGGCTGGTTAAGTATTCAAGCTTCGAAGCAGCAGTTCAGCTGAGAGCCATTGGGATGAGGACACAGAAGCTTCCAGTCTGAGGAAACAGGACCAGCTGAGGAATTGGCAAGGTGAGATAGCTGTGGCTTGTTCTGTCTCTCTGATCTATCAGCATGGACCCCAATAACTCGCCTCCGGTTTGATTTTATTAATAAGAACTTTTAAGATTCCTGCTACACTCTTTACTGCTAAAGGGCTGCAGGAGGCCAGGTTAATGGAATGTTTGCTAAGTTAATAAAATGTTTTAGATAAAAAAAAAAAAAAAGCAGCAAGCATCTATCTAACTATTCATCCATCATTAGGAAATGACAAAATGTAAAATATCAGCAATTTCTTGAGAAAACACTATATATAGTCCATTACCCCAAGAGAGACTACTATTCCCTTTTTAAAAATTGCTGATACTTTTCAAAATTCACTTTGGACTACCTCAGGAAAGTACAGAGAGGTACACACACATTCATCAAGTGAAGGAAAAGCAACCTATGGGAAACCTCAGGCCCGGCATACTGTGAGGTTCCGCAGCACACCTGTAATGGCTGGCATATGACATGCTACTTCCTGAGCAACTGTCCAGTTTCAAACAACAAGAACAAGACTGTGCTGACTAAATGTTCCTTTGCACAAGATACATTGAGAAATGAATTCTTCAAAATATTCCTTAGTGGGCTGGAGACATGGTTCAACAGAACTAAGAGCATTTGTTGCTCTTGCAGAAGACCCGGTCCACTTCTCAGTACTAGTATGGTGGCTCACAAGCACTCATAATCTCAGTTCCACGTTATCCAACAAGACACTCATGGCACACATACATGCCAGCAAAGCATTTATACACATAAAATTAAATATTCCTAGCCAGGCAGTGGTGGCACACATCTTTAATCCCAGCACTTGGGAGGCAGAAGCAGGCGGATCTCTGAGTTCAAGGCCAGCCTGGTCTACAAAGTGAGTTCCAAAACAACCAGGGCTACTCAGAGAAACCCTGCCTTGGAAAACAAAAAGAAAAAAGAAAATTCCTTAGAAAATAACAAACTTGGGGATAATTAGCAGAAGTAAAGTTCTGTAAGTATTATACTCACATGTTCCTCAAATCCCAAACCAACAAGGGAGAAATGACCAATGTGGTAAGGACAGAATGCTAAAAGAAAGGAGAAAAATTATCATTAGAACAATGAGCACTCTTAACTTAATCTCCACTAAAGGAACCAGGACATCTTTGAGAAACAGTAGATTCTTGGAGAAAAAAAACCAAACTGTACCTGGCACAATAAAACATCAAGGTCTAACAGGACCCTGTCAAAAGGACACAGGAACCATTCTGAAGAGGGTGTCACTGGCATTTTTAAAGAGATGATATGAGCTTTAAACATTAATAACAACAATTCAATGACCAAAATTGATGGGAACACATAGAAACCAAATCCATGAGGTCTTCTTCTTAATACTCAAAGCTCCAAATATCAACCACAAAGGAAAAAGGCAGCAACATGAAAAGAAACACTTTACGTCTGGGAAGTGGCCCGCACACCAGCTCCTCACTTTGGACTAATCACTGAAAGGACACCACCTGCCCGGCGTCTCCTGAGAACCAACCTCACACTAACTGGATTGTTGCTGTTGATAAAAATGAACTCTTTTTATAGAAAAGCTAGCCAAGAAGGACCTTTAAAATGCCAGAATTTGAAACATTCGGCACTTTTCAACACCTAAGGAGGACTGACACTAGGTGTGACACTAAAATATCATTCCACAGATTTCTTTCTTGGTGTAAACGGAAAATGATAAAAATCACATACCTCTTCCTATGTCCCATTCTGAGTCAAAATGCATGCCCAATAACCTTGTCAAAGATGACTGAACCTGACCTGATCAGGCCCTTAAATTTGACTTCCAGTTTAGAAAACATGGCAGACAGAGGATGAGGGTAGAGGACATCAACACACACATCCTAACAGAGTGGAGTAGGAAGCTCAGGAAAGACTATTTCAACCTCCCAGTAATGTGCGCACATTATTTGGATCTTTATTCAAACACACCAACTATAAAATGGCATTTGAGGGAACTTTGAATTTGTAAATATGATGGATTATTGGGAAACAATGAATTCTACTAAGTTTTAGATGACACTATAGTTAAATCAGAAAGTATACTTCATTTTTCTTATTAAAAAATTTTATGCTTCTCTTTTCCTGAAGCTTTTCTAGCCAAATTTCAGTTTGTTCTTAATAAATTTTTGTTTCTCCATAGTAACAACAAACATCCTGACTGATAAATACGGCAGAGGATGATTCAATCACTGAGTAAAAATTCAAGGAATGTACTAGGAATCTGGTGTCTAAGTCCACATTATATGTACCTTTATATTCCTAAAGCACAAATAAAACAAAAACGTGCAACAAAACTCCTAGAAAGCCAAACTTCTATCACGATACCACAAAAACTAAAAGCATAGGTACAACTTACCAAAAACAAGAATGAACAATGTATTTAAAGACACCACCCAGAACACGTGTTCCTACAGGAGAAAGCATTAGTAAGAGTCAGTGATATCTCATGTTTAATTGAACAATTTCACTTAGTCATAGTTAAATCCTGAAAATAATTAGAACTGATCCCCCCCCCCCCCAGACAAGGTTTCTTGATGTAGCCCTGGCTGTCCTGGAACCCGTAATGTAGACCAGGCTTGCTTTAAACTCACAGAGATCCACCTGCTTCTGCCTCTCAAGTGCTGGGGTTAAAGGCACACGCCACTATGCCTGGCACATTTTTTATCTTTAACTATTAACTTTAAAATGTTATTTATTGAAAGCAGAATCCTATTACATTCACCCCTACCTCTGATTCCCCTGAAACTGTATAAGGAAGGAAGTCAAGCTGCAAACGACTTTCCTATTTGACCTTAACAACTCCTGCCATTCTTATGAAACACCAATGAGGTAAAGGATATATTTAAGTAAACAGCAAGAGACAGATATTATCTGGATTTTTGTAGCAGTGCTGGCCACTGGATCATGCAACCCTCAAGCCTGTACTTCCTCTGGGCTTCCTGTTCTTGCCATGTCTCCATCTGAGGCAGTTCTGCTACTGCAGACAAGCCCTATCTATTGAAAAATCCCAAATAACAAGCAATTTTGCATTACGTGATCTGAAAACACCATTTTTTTCCTTTACAGAATAAACTTCTTGAAAGAATTACCCCTCATTTAAAGACATGCCTTTATTATCGTGTGTGTGTGTGTATGTGTGTCTGTCTGTCTGTCTGTGAGTATATGCACATTAGTACAAGTACCATGGAGCCCCAAACTGTTAGTGTCAGATCCCCTAGAGCTGGAATGACAGGAAGTTGGGCTACCTGACACTGGCACTCAGAACCACAGAACTCGGGTCCTCGGAAAGAGCAGTGTGTATTCTTACCTGATGAGCCATGTCTCCAACTCTAGCCATCTACTTTTAAGTTGCAGCTTTTGGGGTACTGAGATAGCTCACCAAGTCAAAGTGCTTATTGTGAAACCTGACGACATGAGTTTAATCCCAGCTCCCACAGTGGAAGGAGATAACAGATAACAGACTCTGGCTTCTACACACACCAGTAAAGAAAAAACTTAAAAATTAAAAACTGTAAAATAAAAAATGAGGTAAGCTTTACTCCTACGGCAGACTTCCAGCTAAGACTGTGGTTCCCACCTGTGGCATGGACAAGGCTGTTTTGTTCTCAATGGTGCAGGCATTAAACATGTAAGACCCAACTTCAAACATCAACTTCTTTTAACTACTATTAACTTTGGACTTTTTCTCAAATATTTAATAACTTTATTAAATGTTAAATAACATTCCTTTAAATATTTCTAGTATTGTCAACATACAAAATAATACTTTCAAGTATCAAGTAATCAAAATTCAAAGAGTTATTTTGACTTTTAGTATAAAGAGGAGCATACTCCAAGAATTTGGAGTTACTGGATAACAGAGACAACTCATAATTTCTATCAAAAGTAATACTTCCACTTACCAGAAAAACTAATGATCCGTCAAGTCCAAGCATCTAAAATAAAAATAATAAGCATTAATTTAAGATGCATAGGACCTTCTTATAGAAAGATTGCTTTCCTATCAGTATCATTAAACAGTTTCCAATCACTACTTTCTAAACCTATCATTACCAGAATGTTAAAAAAATAATAACTCTGTGTTTTAAAGTATTATGTTTTGTGTCTTCTTTTACCCTAAGTCATATGGAAAATATCATCTAGAAATTTCCATCCTGAGTGTGCTCCCAACCCTAGGGAAGATAAGGCAGCTACAGAGACAGAGAGTGAACCAGTATCAAAAGGCTGACAGGTGGAGCGCAGTGAAAGAGTGCTTGCCCAGCATGCCCAAGGCCATGGGTTTGTATGCCCAGCACTGAAAAAAGAAAAAAAAAAATACCCATCCTTAGTTTCTTACAGTAGTCATTATAGAATTCCTTTTATTTTCTTCAATTACAGTGTGGAAATCCAATTTAAATTTTTACTTAGTTTTCCCCCAAGTCCACAATCTGGGTCAACCTGCCTCCGGCATGAGCAAGGTTCGCAGGAAAGGCAGGACAGAGGCCGCACTGTCACCGCCTGCACCACGGCTGCCCACCACTTGTTTTTGTAGAAAGTAAATCTTGATTAACTGTTCCCATCAAATTTAACTATGAAATTTGTGTTTATAGCTAAATATGCAAACTTCCAAACCCCCCACAGGACTGAAACACAAGGACAAGGGACAGTGAAAGTTCTTACTCTTTCCCAAGTAAGCTCTTCTGCAGCCCGGTCCCACTCCAGAGCGTTCCAGTTCATATCATCTGAAAACACAATTGCCAATCAAGATCACTGACAGAGATGAAACTTGAACTAATAAGAGCCACTTTTAATTATCATCTGTTGAGAAGTTAAACCACATTTAAAATTTTATCAAACATAATTTACTTCCTAGATTATAAGACAATGCTAGATTGTGGTTAGTACTAGAAAGTTAATAAATAGGATTAAGCCAAAGACAAATCTAATTGATGTGGGTCAAAAAAGAATCTGGTAGATTTGAGGAAAAAGAAGTTAGTCAAGGGATTAACTTTCTAATGAATTAGTAAATTATCAAAAGATAAAAGTTTAAAGCTCAGGCTCATTAGTGGTTAAGAACTCAGACTGTTCTAATGGACCCAATTTAGTCCTTAGCATCACTCATGTCAAGTGGCTCACAACTGCCTGGAACTCCAGTTCTAGGGGATCACCCTCTTCTGGCCTCCATGAACACCGCACACACACACACACACACACACACACACACACACACACACACACACACCACACTTAGAAATAAACATATATATTTAAAATGTAAGAGTTGGATCAGGTGGTACAAAGCCTGAAATCCTACCACTCAGGAGGTTGAGGCAGATGGACTGCAAGTTCTGGGCCAGTCTGAACTACACAGTGAGATCCTGTCTCAAAAAAAAAGAGTTAAAAAAAAATGCAAAGCAGATAGGGATTAAATAATAAATGAGGAGTGTGCAGTCTGGACTGTGCTTTACTCAGGACTTAAATAAAAGTGGAAGAATACAATGAACACCAGATGGGGCAAGAACATATGCAAAGACTACTCAAGAGCTACTGCACTAACCAAGAGACAGGTGACCGCCAAGCACTAGGGCAGAAGCAGCCAAAGCGGTTTTCTCGGAGCCTCTGAGCTTTCCCTGAGAAAGCCGACTGCTCCCATTATCCATTTTGTTTCTTCTTATCTTTCAGGTCTCAGTGCAAAAGTCACTTACTCTGAGTTTCCTGGGAAACCTTATATAAGACAAATATCTTCAGAGCGACCCATACACACTTAACACAGTGTATCTCCTAGTTCTTCCCTCCACCAGCACCTCCCAAGAAGGCAGGCCAGGCATTTTGTTCACAACTGAATACTTTGTCTCAAGTGTCTGGCACTATGCACACAGACACTAGCAAAGTGGATCGATGATAACACAAGAGGACAGGCAATGAGCTCTGACAATGCAACGCAGAGCCAGAGTTTGCACTGATAGAAAACGAAAAGATGGTTTCTAGAGGTGGCACCTGGCCTGTACTGTACACTTGAGGGGTTCTTTTTTTATTTGAAAAGTGCAGTAACTCCATGGAAGCAAAGAGAAAAATACGAGAAACAAAAACAAAAAACAAAAACCCAGGAAATTCTATACCAAGCTCCCTCCTCAAACATGGACCTTATGTACCTGTGTGTTCCTAACTGCTAGCTTGTCAAAACAGAACTCGGACACATCATGAAACATGAAAGCACTGCTCTCTTTGTGCTCGGTGCAAGCTAAGAATGACCGGCCGTCCTGAAGGGTGAGCAAGGGCACGGGGCAGACACTACCTTGGGCTCCATTGTTGGCGTCAGCAGCATCTTCCACACCCGCATCATCTTCCTCCTCATTGTCCTCCTCCTCCTCTTCTGCTTGACCGTCCTGGGCATCAGGGTTCTCACCCAGCACTGCATTCTCACCTGCTGGGTTAGCTGGCTGATCAGCAGCAGCGTTCTCTGCACCATTTCCTCCTACAGGAGCCTAAAATGAAAGAAAAGCCCAGGAATTCACCCACGTGGCTCAGTTTTACTCTAGTTCCAAATCATACTTTACCCTGCAAGAAAAACAAAACCAGCAAAGACAACCCCACTAAAGTTAAAAAAAAGAAGTATCTTTCAGGCTCATCTCTTTTAAATGTATCTCATTTATGACCAACTTGGTACATAAGAATGTGAACTCACTTTTCAATGTACACATTTCAGAAAGCACTAGAGGGCTGGGGAAACAGTTTCTGTGGGCAAAGCACTTGCCACCCAAGTGTGAGGACCTGGTTTGGATTCCCAGAACTCAAATAAAGCTGGGCACAGTAAAGCATCTGTAATTCTGTGCTCCAACATGGGGACAGAAGAATCCCTGGAAGCTCACGGACCAACTGTAGAGAACCCAAGATGCTGTCTGTCTTCAATAAGGTAGAAGGCAAGGACTTACACCAAAGGTGGTCCTATGGCCTACACATGCACACAATGGCACATACACAACTACACTTATACACATACACATGAACACAGATACACACACACACACAGACACACACACACACACAGACACACACACACACACACACACACACACACAGACACACACACACACACACACACACACCATTATAAAATATGGGCAAATCTGGCTGTCTTAAACACATCATCCATAATCTTTTATAAATATGACAAGTATGTCTAATTCTCTTAGGGATGAAAACACATTTTTTAAAAAAAATGTATGCACATGTATACACACATATACACCTTAATTTGCTGCTATTAACACTTGAGTAACTGATTTCTAGTTTGACTTAGAGAATAGGATTTTCCATATATGGCCTTTATTGATTCCCAAATGCATTTTCTTCTGGCTCTTTTGGGCTACCAAGCCAAGGATGGTGGCCCAGAGTGGTAATTACAGCTACTATAGGGAAAAAGGTAGATTTGAAGCAGGAGGATTATAAGTCTGAGGCCTACTGTTGGACTTGGCCAGATTCTTATCTCAAACCAAAAATAAAAGGGCTGAAGGTGTGACTCAATGGGAGGGTAGTTACCTAGTACATGTGAAGTCTTGAACTCAATCCTCAATTCCAGAAAATTATAAAAAAATCAAAATTCTGCTACCAACCAAATGCAAAGACATAATTCCATTTAACTGTTAAGTTAAAACACAATTCCCAGGGCTGGAGAGATGGCTCATCGATTAAGAGCACTGGCTATTCTTCCAGAGGACCTGGGTTCAATTCCCAGAACCCACATGGCAGTTCACAACTGTCTGTAACTCTAGTTCCAGAGGATCTGATACCTTCATACCAATGCACATAAAATAAATTTAAATAAATTATTTAGAAAAAAACAATTCCCTTGGATTTAATGAAAATCCTGAAACAAAACTACATTAAATGCTTCAAACTACAAGGTAGAATAGCAACATGCTTCTCTTAATCTTCTCTAGCAGCACTACCTGCATAGGCATGGGGTATACCCCTACTGCTCTTAGGGAAGGAGAAGGAAAGTGAGTTTGAGGCCGGTTTGGGCTACATATCGAGACCCAGTCTAAAAATTAACAAAACGACTATGGGTATGTATGGCTCGGTGACAGAATGCTGGCCAGTGTGCTCATGGCCCTGGGTTCCATCCCCAGAAAAGGGGTGTGTGCGGCAGGGCTTGTGGTATTGGGTTCATCTATGCATACTTTTCTAAGGAAAAGGCGTACTCTGTAGTTAAAAAAATTCCAGACTTAATGAAACCAATCTTATTATTAAATAATTATTAATATTATTTATTAATAAGTTATTTATTATATATTTATATATAAATTATCTATAATATTATATAATTTATAATGATAAATTATTAATAAATGATAGATAATTATTAATATTATTAAATAATTATTAATATCAATATTAAAAACAAATCATAGGAACAAAGATTAATTACCACTGAATAGTTTGTGACCAACTGTTTCACTGAAAAAAAGTATATGAAGTGTGAACTTTTCACTTCACTGAGCAGTAGCTGTATGACATTCTTGGCCCTACAATTTCCCAGCAGGCAAGATACTAAAGCTAAAGATACTCTTGCTGTGCCCTCCTGTTAACAGGCTGCCAAGTATCCTTGTAAGTGAGCACATTGTCACTCATAAGAAAACCGTACACAATTCTTTTCTTCTTTAATTTTGTGTGTTGTGTGTGCACATACCCACAGAGAGATCTACACATGCCACACTGCATGTACGGAGGTGACAGGACATCTCTTCTCTGTACACTGGCTTCTGGGAACTCCAAGCAGGGTTATCAGGGTCAGATGGCAAGCATATCTTCCTACTGTGCCATCTGACTGACCAAGTTTGCTACTTTTGATAAAGTTTTTCCTACGTAATAGAAAAGGCATTTCACATACGAAGAAAAAAGTTGGGATAGGTGTAGAACACTCCTAAATGTTGTGCAGCATTGCAGCATGTCAGAAACCTGTGTGTGTGCGTGCGTGCGTGCGTGCGTGCGTGCGTGCGTGCGTGCGTGCGTGCGTGCGTGCGTGCGTGCGTGCGTGCGTGTTTTGAGTCAGGGTCTCTCTACTATGTAGCCCTGGCTATCTTGGAACCCACTGAGCTCCGCCTGCCTCTGCCTCCTGTGGTGGATTGCAGGTGCGGCCATCACTCAGCTATATATAGGAAATTGTTTCTTACCTTCCAGGCCCAAGTTAAGCTGCTGACCCATGCAAAGAGAATGGAAGAGTGTTTTAGTATTCCCACTAACACTGTTCCAATCTTGGAAGATTAGTCGGAGAAACATTCTTTTTCCCTTTCACAGTCCTCCTAATCCCTCAAACTTTCCCACTGTCCTCTTCTATGACATGAGCACATTTATGTGGCACATGAAAGTCAAGGGTTTGGATTGTAGAGGGTGACAATAACTTTCAGATACTGCCCAAGGAAGATACATTTCACGTGAGGGCTTACCTCATTTTGGTGGTGTCCAGCAGCATTGAAGGCTGGAGCAGCATGCTCCAGCCAAATTGGTGCTCCCCCATGGACTATCTGCTCTCGTAACCACACCAGGCTAATGAATGCACAAAGTGTGCATGTTACCACAAAACAGCCCTGTAAGCAATCTGCCAACAAATTTTCCCTATTAAAAAAAAAAAAAAAATTAGACACAATTAACTTCAAAGGACACTTGAAAAAAAAACCCAGAAAAATCTTAACTTTTCAGTAAAATTCAGTTGCTTCTAAAGGATTATATATAATGACATTGAAATTCTATCTTATAAGCTAGCTAATATGTACGTTTATATACTTATATTATTGTATACTTATATTAAGTAGATATAAAATAACATCAGAATATACAGCTATTAATTATCCAGCCTATCCTTTTAGCACAGCCAAGAAACAGAAGTATAAAGGTAAAAAAAAAAAAAATCCAGCAAAAACACTCAACAAACCCAAACACTGCATTTATACAATTTACTAAGTTAGTTGAGCAATTCTGCTTGATCCTTCTAACAGAACTTTAAAGCTTAACTGACAGAGGTAACTGACAGGGAAGCACATAAAAGAACACACTCAATAAGAAAGGTGGGAAGCTCCCTCAGTGACTGATAAAATGGCAACATAAAGAAGGTTGAAGGACACTCAGTATACCACGGACCAGATGGAGAAACTCACAATGCATGGTGCAGAAACTCTTTAAATGGTAAACCTAGCTTTAATGCTAGCTGCAAAAATACCAAAATAAATCCAAAGAGGCAGAGTGTGGTTTCTTTAGTAACCACACATGGAAATGTTAGATTTGTAACACTTGGGAGTCTTTGCTCCTTCTTTTCTGAAGAAACGTATTCTTCACTATCTATGTCTGTGATTTCAGAATAATTCGAGCATAACTCAAAAATGATAGATGTTAGAAAATTGACTACTTTTTTGTCTCTGGTAAATTTAAGGAAAGGTCAGTCTGAGAGACCTCAGCCTAGCAGCCCCACACTGTAACTGCTATCATTCCAAAGGAGGTCCTGTCTACAGTATCTCCAAACCATCCCTTACTAAAGGACCTTCTATACCATCAAAATCAGGATGAGTTGGGGCTGAAATATTCCTTCTCCATTTCTTCTTTGCCAAACAACTAACTTCTTATAGATTTTAAATGGAACCACACTTTAGAGCCCTTTTCTCTAATGCCTGCTTCCACGTGAACTAGCTTCATTTTTGCCTAGTCCTGAGGTGAGGATGCCCACACTCCAGGGCTTAGAAAAGGGCTTATGGGCTCCCACTATCCCAGTTTCAGAATGCTGCGCTGAAGTCCTCTTGTGGAGAAGCCTCCATTAACCTTCTGAGGATGAAAGGCTGTGTGGATAGCTCCAGGAAAGACACGTGTGACTCAGACAAGCTCAGAGATGAACTGCCCAGCTAAGCACGACTAAGCCACACCAACTCTGACCTCCAGAACTGTGAGCAGGTAAAATGGCAGCTATTGACACCATGATGTCTCAGAACTGTGTTTTGCACATTTGTGTAAATGAGGTGGTTTGCCTGGAGATAACCCAACTCATCTGCACATAACTCATACTGCCACATACGGTACATGTGCAGAACTTTCAGGAAAAAGTTGTATACTATAGAGAATATGTAATACTCTCCCTCACCCCTAGCATTCTTCTGTGAGTAGTCTAAAGAAGGAAGTGTAGCCCACAGCCAGTCAACTGACATGCCAACACAGGCCCAGCCAAGTGCTAACGTCACATGAAGAGAAAAGCCAGTGAACAACTTTTTAATGCATAAGTCAAGTAGCTTCCTTGTTAGAAGGAAAAAAAATGAATTGCTGTTCTTAGATGAATTTTCAAATAATAAGAATAAAAACATAGGTTAGGTATAGTGACACATGCCTTTAATCCCAGCACTTTGGGAGGCAAAGGCAAGTGGACCACAGTGAATTCAAGACCAGACTGGTCTATAGAGCAAGTTCCAGGACAGTCAGGGCTGTTATACTACAGAGAAAGCCTGTCTCAAAAACCAAAACAAACAAACAAACAAACAAAGGAATATATACAAGAGGAAAAACATCCTTCACATTGCCCAAACTCCATTCTCACACTTGATACTCACGTTGACAGCATGTCTAGTGGCAGTGTCAGTAGTGAGCTCACGGAGCCAGTAAACAAGCACTTGTAGATGCGGCCTACAAACAAGGGCACAATGGCATAGTCACAACTAGCACCATGAACTCACAATGGCTCAAGGAAGCAGAGGTCAAGTGGAACATCACAGGCACCAAGAAAACAAGCTTTCTTGTTCTCTGTAGGCCTGAGTCTCATACTGGGCTTTAGTTTTTGTTGTTTTTTTAATTGCAGGCCTGTGTGCATGGTTGTCTGAGTATGAGCACCCACATACCATGGTGTGTGTGTGTGTGTGTGTGTGTGTGTGTGTGTGTGTGTGTGTGTGTGTGTGTGTGTGTGTGTAGAAGTCAGAAGACAACTTTCTACCTACCGTGGGTTCCAGGGATGAAACTCAGAAGCTTGTATGACAAATGTGTTTACCTGCTGAGGTACCTAACTGGCCTCAATATACTACTTCTTAGCTAGGCAGTGGTAGTGCCCACCTTTAATCCCAGCGCTCAGGAGGCAGAGGCAGGTGATCTCTGGGTGCAAGGCCAGTCTGGTCTACAGAGCAAGTTCCAGGACAGCCAGGACTACACAGAGAAACACTGTTTCAGCATGGGGAGGGAAAAAAAAAAAAAACAAAACCAAAACCTACTTTTTAAGAGCACAAAAAGAGTGAGTAAACAGTAAGTTCTCCATGGCAGTGTTGGCTGGTCTCTGCAGAACCACTTGAAAGTAGGGCCTCCCACGTGTTAGACAAGAGTCTACACTGAGCTACATCCTTAGTTCTAGGAATCTTAAACTTGCTTAGATGTTGAGGGGGCTAGATTAGTGATCTAAATCATAATATGAAGATTGTTTTTAAATCTAGAACTGCAAAATTCAGTAACTATTTGTAAAAAACAAAAGATTTCAATTTGGGAATCAGGCGTCTTTGAACTGAGAAGCTTCTTCAGCACAGTGCATAATCCAATGACCTTCAGGGATCAATGAGATGGCTGACCCCAGCAACCTCTGCTCAACCCTGGGAACCCATGGAAAGCTGGAGAGACAAACATTCCACAAAGTCGTTCTGACCTCCACACACACCATAGCATAAGAGCACACACATAGAAAATTGTTTTTAAAAGACTTTAAAAAAAACAGTTTCAGGCCGGGCGGTGGTGGCGCATGCCTTTAATCCCAGCACTCGGGAGGCAGAGGCAGGCGGATCTCTGTGAGTTCGAGGCCAGCCTGGGCTACCAAGTGAGTTCCAGGAAAGGCGCAAAGCTACACAGAGAAACCCTGTCTCGAAAAACAAAAACAAAAAAACAAAACAACAAAAAAAAAAAGTTTCAAAAGGTCTCAAACAAAGAATATCTTAAATTATGGCCATGGAGGGAAAACACAAGCATAAAAGAATTCACTGTCATCCTTAACCCTCTTATTCAGAAAAGGTAGAATGTTGTTTAGTGAGAAAGGCAGAATTCTAGAGAGAAAGCAGTAACAAGACTAGGGCTTTAGAAAGGGACTAAGGAAATGCTGAGGCTTTTCTTCAGAACACTTCTTGCACATTAGTTCAAGCACTGTTCTTAGTCTTATATCAGACACTTTCAATGAGTTCAATGGCTTCTTTTACTGGTCAACTCAAAAGGGCAGAAGAATAAAAAGTGTCCATAATGGAAATTACTTACATCCCTATATAAAAGGAAGCAAACATGCTTATAATAAGTAAAACTAACAAACCAACCATCAGTCAATACCCAAATGGACTGACAGCATTAGGGCTCCTCAGAACTCTGGCATGTACTAGGAAAGAGGGATGGGAAACAGAACTAAAAAGGAGAGTCTGGGGGCTGCAGAGATGGCTGTTAAGAGCACTGGCTGCTCTTCTAGAGGTCCTGAGTTCAATTCCCAGCAATCACATGGTGGCTCACAGCTATCTATAGCGGGACCTGATGCCCTCTTCTGGCATAAAGTTGTACATGCAGATAGAGCACATTATATATATATAAATTAATTAATTTTAAAAAATTGAAAAAAAAGAAGTCTGTAAGAGTATGTATTATATGATGCACATGTGTGTATGCAAAGTCAGGACAGAAATCAAGCTTGTTACAGTGAAGTCAAACATTCACTTATGCTCGACTGTATGATCTGTTGATTTTAGAAAGGCATGTTGTCTTCCACTTTAACTGAATGATTTTTTCTTTTTCAGTTCTTATGCCCCATGAAGACCAAGCTGGCCTCCAACTGGAGATCCTCCTGCTTCAGCCTCTATACAGATAGGATTAAGGTGTGTATCATTTACAGTGTGTATCATTTACAAGTTTAAGGTGGCAAACATTCTGAACACCTAAGTGTATTTTGTTCTTCCAACTGAGTATATTTGGAAGGTGAGGAATTTACAGTAAAAAACTGTTTTATCTGGAACTTGCCACTGTCTTGTTTAGGTTTGTGGTCTCCTTCATAACAGAAATGATCAACTCCTCATCTCCAATAACCTTACCTTGTAGAACAACTTGCTAGGTGTTACTAAAAGTGCCAGCTCTAGCTTCTCCTATTTCTCTTACTCGAACTACTTTGTCCCTCTGAATTATACTGTAGGAGAATTCACTGGCTCCATCTAGCTCACTAAAGTCACTCTCCACCAGTGCTTATGTCTTTCATCTCTGTAGGTAGTCAAGCTAGTTGTACTTAAGGAGACATGAGAATGTAAATTACATGTATCTAAAACCCTTGCTTGTTTTAAAGTCCACAGAATCCTATCTATATACTCTGCCATTCATGTATTATCAATACTGCTCCATGTCTTTAAGAAAAACACCCTTCCCTCCTCCAGAAACAACTCAGTGAAGATGTTTTCTAAACAAGGCTTTCCTAATATATGATAATATAAATCAACTAATTAAACATCATTCGTAGTATTAGGCAACACAATTAAAATATAAATCATTTATAAAATAAAAAAGTTATTAAATAACTCCAGAAGAGGGATGAATACTCACATGCTGTAAGAGGAACAACTCCCAACCATGCAAAGGCCACAAGTGTATAATGAAACCAGTATCGTATTGCAGTGCCAATACTTGTAACCAGTCCAGCAAATATGTCTTGGATTGGTAGCCGAGAAGGCATATCTGGAGAGTAAACTGTAAGAGGAAAAAAATACACAGGATTTCATGAGGACTTTTAAATAACTTAATTCATAAATACAAAGTAGAGATATTGTGCTTAAGTATTTTTCCTATATGCCACTGAATGTCAAATCATTATGATAATACTACATTTATACAAGTCTCTTTTTTTATAGAAACCACAACTAAAATACATAAATGAACAAAAAAAAAAAAAAAAAAAAGACCACAGAGCAGAGAAAAAGCATCGAGGGGAAGAAATCTACCTCCTCTGCTTACAGCCTTGAATCTCAAGCAGTATCAGTTTACACATATGTAACATGCAAGCCATACAATGACATGGCTTCTCAAACTATAAAGGATCAAGAAAAGGTAACAAGGGCAAAAGCAAATCTGAAGGCATGTTATCAGAGAACTTCCCAAATGCAGGCATTGGCCATGGCACCCAACAGCCTGTGACAGTCATTTAATGAAGGACCAACAGTTCACTGACGTCACTTAGCCAACCCTCCCCCAATCCTAACATCTTACTTTAATTTTCAAATGATAAATTCAGACATCTTTGCAAAATGTAATTCAAATGTGGTTCAAGAACAGTCCCACATTTTAGGAAATATCTTCCTAAAAATTGTTCCAGTAAAAACTGTTATTTATTAAAAAGCTCTACTTCAGATAATACACATTGTCTTTCAAATACCTCTTTCTCTAAAGGGCCCAAAACAAGGAATTATTATATAAAATCAATGATCTAAAATCTATAAAACAGAGCTGGGGGAGGGGAAATATAACCAAAACTAAACAAAAAGACAATGCTGGCGAGTACTTCAGATGCAAAGTGCTTGCTTAGCACAGATAACATGCTAGGTTTAATACTAAGCAGCCAAAAAATAGTAAAAACAAAACATTCAAGAGCAGTATCACAAAACTACTCGTCTACGAACATAAGTCATAAGCTCCAACAAATGGCAAGTCTGTACATGCCACAGATCACCCAGCCAACAGGACACTTGGTGGAAAGGACAGGAGAGCTTCCTGAGGAAGGTCTACAGGAAACACTGCACAAATGTCAGGAGAAAAGCAAGCATACAAAGTAAAAGTCTACAGGATATTTTCTATTAGTCAAATTTCATGAAGACATTCAACCATTTAGTCTAGTTTGCTATAAATCTTTACAAGCAGTAATGAGTTTATACACCAGAGAAAATAAGGACTATTACAGAATACAAGTGGCATTTTTGCTGGCAATGAATAAATAAAACACAGTAACTTCAATTATACATGTTTGTCAGATAGCAAGCAAAACTAATGATAAGTTAGAGTATTTGTTCTAAGAAGCACAAGAGTCTTAAAAAAATATTAAATACAAAAAATCAGGTGCAATGTATAAGGATCACAACATGAAAAACTGTGCTTCAAGTTTTTAATAATTCGCCAGTACAGTACTATTTGATATAACACAAGTATTATCATTAAAATTTTAAACATCTGAAAAATAGTTACTGAAGCCTTACAACACATGAGCTTAAAAGTTTGTTTCCCGGGGCTGGGAAGATAGCATGCAAGCATGAAGACCAGAGTTATGATCTCCAACATCCACGCTATGCTGGGCGGGCATGGGAACCATGGCCTGCCTGTATCCAGTGCTCAAAAGGTGGGGCCAGGAGATCCCAAGGCAATCTGACTGGCTAGACTTGTTGAAGTGAGGAGTTCAAGATTCAAATGACAATATATAAGGTAGAGGGCAAAAAAATCAAGGATTTCCTAGCCAGGCGTGATGGTGTACGCCTTTAATCCTAGCACTCAGGAGGCAGAAGCAGACCAAACTTGGTGAGTTTGAGCCCAGCATGTTCCACATAGTGAGTTTCAGGACAGCCAGGGCTGTTTTACAGAGGAACCCTGTCTCTAATAAAAAGAAAAAAAGAAAAAGAAAAAAGAAACCCCATATCCATCTCTAGCTCACTCAAACCCACTTATGTACACATGTGAACACACACACACACACACACACACCTCCTACATGCACACATGTGCACCCACACAATCAAACACATATACATTTTAAAAAGTTGGTTTCCGCCGGGCGGTGGTGGCGCACGCCTTTAATCCCAGCACTCGGGAGGCAGAGCCAGGTGGATCTCTGTGAGTTTGAGGCCAGCCTGGGCTACCAAGTGAGCTCCAGGAAAGGCGCAAAGCTACACAGAGAAACCCTGTCTCGAAAAACCAAAAAAAAAAAAAAAAAAGTTGGTTTCCAAAAGAAAAAAGTGTTCTTACTCTTTACTATTATTATTTCACTCTTACAGCTTTACCTCAAAAGGAGTTCAGGCTGAACAGCACTAGATTTTGATGAAATCAAATCAGAGATAATAATGTTTCTTAAAAGGAAGGAATGTTGACACATACTGAGAATGTTTAGATAAAATGAAAACTGACAGGATATCTTTTAAAAAGAACAGCCCAAAAAAATTAAAGAATATAGTAAGAAATGAGAGCACAGATAAAGAGAGAGAGGCCATGTGAGCTGAAAAACAAGTACAACTAAGTGATGGGTTTTCACTCACTCTACCTCTGTGTATGTTTAAGCTAGTCTGTAAATAAGCAAAAACACAAAGAAAACAGCCTACAAAACATGCATGGGTATATTAAATTAAAAGAAGACAGTTTTAAAAATATCCTTCTAAGTGGAACAGGTTTTTTTCTATTACTATCAAAGACAATGAGGTTGAAAATTATTGCTTTCAAACTCTAAACACCTTTTGTTGCCAGAAATAACAAAAGAAAACTGTAGTGAAAATGTCAAATGAACTTACTTGGTGTGAAAGCAAATCTGTGCTTGCATAATTCACAGTATTCTTTTCGACTGTGTTTCAACCACTGAACTAAGCTGTAATTACAAAGACATTCATGAATACAATATTTAAAACAAAGCAGCATTAAGATTTCATTGAAAACTAGTGTTTTTATTAAAATTTTTGTGTCATAGAACTTTTATAGTTTTCAGAATTTCAAATGTAGACTATTTTAACTTTTATGTGCTTTCTAAGATATAAAACTTAACATAAATATAAACCAATATACATTATATTAATAAAAAGATTTAATTAGCCAAAATTCTAATCTCTTCAGAGCTAAATGAATACTAGTAAATAATCCGAGGTCAGCATCAGTTTTGATACTGGCCTTTCAATGCTCACAGCTGGTAACCAGGGCTGAATTCCCACTCTCCCCCTGGCAAGTTATGTGCTTATAGCACAAGTTCTTGAACCTGTTTGTGCTCCATTTCTTCATCCATACATCCATATAATGTTCCAGACTTTTCTTGCAAAGAGTAAATGAGTTAAGATGTGTAAAGCACAGAAGATAGTTCTTGGCACAGAATATTTAATAAATATAAGCTAAAATTATGCCACTCAAAAACCAGAAAAACATAATTCTGTCCATGAACAAAACAACTTCTCAGTGATAGAAATTAACAATAGGCTATCGTTCGCATATCCACTATATACCAAAATAGCATGTCTGGTATTAACTGTGGGTCATTGCTTAGTCAAACTATAAATATTGTTAGAAATTTTTAGAACAAAAGCTTAAAAATAATGAATTACTGGTCAAGATCACTGAAATGATCAATTTTATTACACAGATGATAAAATTGAATTTAAGAATGATACAATTTTCCAAATGACTTACCATTCTTGATGAATAAACTTAATACTGCCAGTACATACACAAGGATGATAAAGAGGTTTCTCGGGTGTTCCTTCTGACCGACACACTCTACATATGTCTGATAACAAAGGAGAAAAATAGAATTACCTTTAGTTATGACTCTTATACAAAAAGACCAACAAAACAAAAATATTTTGTGCTAAAGGTAAAATTTATTATATCAATCAATAGGATGGAAACCTGAAAACGGTGATGAAACTTTCATTAAGGGTATATCAGAATCTAAGTACGTTCCTTCAAAATGCATAAAGGTGAGTTGTTCCTTAGAATGTTCTGTAAATAAAGCTGAAAATAACAAAAAGTTTAATTTATCTACACTTGCAGTATCCTATAACACTCAACCAAACAAATAAGCAGAATCAGGTCACCTGGCCACAAATATTAGTGTTGCAACAGTGTAACGTTTTTACAAGTCTAAATCCAGTCCTAAGGGTTTAAGTACTACAAAACCATCTGAGGGGGAAGGGAAAATGATACCAAAATATAATGACATACATGAAAATGCAACAATAAAGCCCGTCACTTTGTATGCCAACCTCAAAATTATTTTTAAAATAAAATTATTCCTAAAATTACTTTTCAGGGAGCAGGTAAGATGGCTTAGTGGTTAAAGACACACTGGCTGCTCCTCCAGAGGACTCACTCCAGCTTGATTTCCAGCATCCACTTGGTGGCTCACAACTGTCTACAACTCCAGTTTCAGGACCTAACGCCCTCTTCTGGCCTCTGCAGGCACTGCATGTGCATAGCACATGCAGATAAATACTCATACACATTAAAGGAAAAATCATTTTTTTAAAAAAATTTTTTTCTAAAAAACCATGTCTGAGGACTTAAGACAGTAGCAGCAGAGGAATGCACAGTAGATTCTCTTTCCTTGCCTCACATACAAAGAAGGAAACTAGAAACCGGTGACACACACACACATAGTGTGCGCACACACAATCAGGACCCAAGGAAGGTACCTCAGAACCTCACCGACTCCTACTAGAGAAAGGGGAAGCAGAAGCTATAGGAGCCCAGGGCTGAAGAGTCAGCACAGGGAGAGCATTCCCTACCCTAGCACCAAGGGGAGCGCACACATCTCCTGCCCTCCCATCGCTGTGGCTAGCAAACGGCATGGAGGAAAACCTCAGGAGATCGTTTGTGCTCTCTCGCTCATTTCCCCTAAAGCTCCTCTGCAACACCACACTCTGAAATTTCACTATTGCTATTACTTAGCCTTCTCGGGCATCCCTCACAGCCAAGTGCCAATGAATCCCAAGGGCAACTGTCAATGTTCAAAGGAGCAAAGATATACCGTTTGCTTCTGACTGCCTCTCCTACAGGGAATTCCTCACTCAATGTAAAAGAGCTGTAGCTCTGATCTCTGCTTCACTAATGAACTTAGAGGGCCTGTGCTGCCCTTTGGATTAGAAGACACACAAGCTGAGCACCACAGCACACCAGTTCTGGCCACTTGGATCATTATAGACTTCCTGGCTGCTCATTCTTGAGTAACAAAATGCTGCTTGTCCAAGCCAAGCGACACTAAACACTCAGGAAAACTTACTTGGTTATTACATGACTCTCCCTGGTTACCAAGCAACTAGACAAGTCTCTTCACCAATATGGAAAAGCTACACTTCCCTGCCCACAGAAGAGCTATCTCACAGCTCAGTCTCTGTGGTAGAGGTCAATGAGGTTGCTATCACTGCTCTGTCCTGCTGGGAGTTAGTAATATGCATGCCCCTGCCTTCCTTTGAGAGACAGTAGTTTAGCAAGCCCCCTCTGTGAAAAGGAACCAAGATTCCCCATCACCTCAGTTCCAGGTTAGTCACTGCCACAGCAGAAAGTGCAACCAACACACAAAGGTGACAAGGCTATGGGTGCTTATAGCTGAACTATGTTATCTACACATACCAGGGCCACTAGTGCTGTGGGTGCAGATTAGCTTTAAAATTATCAGCTATCCAGGCAGGAGACGAATGCTGCCCAAGGTCCTACACATCACCACCACACTGAGTAACGACACAGGCATTCATTACTATAGATCAACCAAGGGGGCAGGATGGTGTGAGTTAATACAGGTGGGTCATTACCACATATGGATCCTGTATCAACAGCTCTCCTTTGAGAATGCTCCATGGGAACATGATGCAAAGAAAAAAGCAGTAACAAACCCAGGCTCACATGAAGGGGGATTGCCACATCACCTACCCTCCAGGAAGGAACATGGTGACTGGCCAGCTCCCAAGTATGGTTTGGGAAAGAGCAAGGATGCACCTTACTGGTACACTGTGGTCAGCAAGAGACAAGGACAAGAGTGAGTGATAAAACATATGGACATGGATGACTAGTTCAAGGCAACGCAACTCTGTGAGCTGAGAAAGCTGTGCTGGGACCAAGGTGGCGGTAAACTTCAGAGTGCTCCAGTGCAGGAGGAGCCTATCTATGGGCAAGAAGGACTGAGGTGGGAGATCTCCTTAGGGGGCCCAACACACCTGGAGAGGACAGTGATTTTTCAGAAGGTCTCATCCTTCTCAGAAACAAACCAACAACATAATGCCATGCACAGACAACCAACTTCAACTCAAGCCAGAGCTAATGTGTAGCAGAGAAGCTGGATCCTTGGAATTCTGTAGAGTCCCTTTCTTACTCAGAGACTGAAAGTAAGAACTACCTTCTAGCAATCCTGAAGAGTCTCTTTTACTCACTGCTGAGCCAATTTGCAGGTTTCTTTCTTTTCTTTTTTCTTTTAAGATGGGATCTCACTACATAGCCCAGGTTGACTTTAAACTCAGTGCTCTCCTGTGATAGCCTCCAAATGCTTGGATTATAGACATAAAACATCACATCTAGCTTATAGTGGTGTTTGTAGAGGGCACATGATATTGGATGCTATCACAGATTTCTTTAAAAAATCCAACTGTTAGCCGGGCGGTGGTGGCGCACGCCTTTAATCCCAGCACTTGGGAGGCAGAGCCAGGCGGATCTCTGTGAGTTCGAGGTCAGCCTGGGCTACCAAGTGAGTTCCAGGAAAAGGCGCAAAGCTACACAGAGAAACCCTGTCTCGAAAAACAAACAAACAAACAAAAAAAAAAAATCCAACTGTTGTTCTATTAAACTAGACACTGAAGACAACTGTAAAGATAAACCAGGAATAGCGGCACACTCCTTTAATCTCAGCACTCAGGAAGCAGAGGCAGACAGATCTCTGCATTTGAGGACAACCTGATACACATACACAGCAAGTTCCAGGACAACCAGGGCTACATAAAGGGACCATCTCAAAAAACAAAAATTGTAATATAAAAAAATACCCACTCTTCTCATCAGTTTGGGGGATTTGGAAGATATGATTTAATGAAAAATGGTATTATATTACCATAGTGAATATACTATTTAAGTAAAATTAAAAATGGTTCCATTTTATTCTTTCAGGTCTTTAAGAGTGTAAACATTGTGTTAAAACCTCAAAAGCTTGAGAACCAGGCAGGGCCAAGGGGATAGGTAGCTCAGCAGGTAAAAGCATGACTCACACAAGTCTGACAAATGGAATGTGACCTCTGGAACTCAGGAAAAAAGCTGCACGCAGTCACCTGCGCCTGCAATTCCAGCACCTGTATAGCAAGATGGGCGGTGGAGACAAGAGAACTGCCTGAAAGCTACCTAGCCTGGAGCACACAGCACAAGAGCAGGAACAAGATGAGACCCTGTTTTAATAAGGTTGATAAGGCAACAATCAACTGAAAGTCATCCTCTAACCTCAGCACATGCACTGCAGTGTGTGTGGGGGGAGGGGGAACAACACGTTTTTGTTTTTGTTTTTTTTTTTAAGTTTGAGAACCACTGTTCATTAGTAATTGTTCTGATACATTTATTGGCTCTTTGAAGAAGGTGGGGAGTGTCAGATAACGGTAATGATCCTTTCCAAACAAATATGCATAGAATTATTAAGGGCCTCCTACACTTAGACCAATTTTATGGGAGAAAAAGTAAGATCATTGTAGACTGCTCATTCATCTTGTTTCAGAACCATGGAAATCATTTTTATAATTATAAAACAAAGTTATATCAAAATGGGAAATAAGCAACTCCTAAATGAAAGCACAAACAAATTAATAAACCCAAGCCTATGTCATGACTAACCACAAAAAAGAAATGAAGACACTTTAAAACAGCAATTATGGAGCCTGTGAGATGGCTCAGCAAGTTCAAGTACTTGCTATGTAAGCTGGATGTACCCATGTAAATGTGAAAGAGAATAGACCACATAGTCTCCCTTTGATCTCCACATACACTGTGCACTACAACCATGCCCACAGATACACACAATAAACAGATGCAGTTTAAATAAGACAGACAGACAGACAAAACAGCAAGGCCTGGAGAGAGAGCACAGACATTAATAGCATTTGCTACTCTTGTAAAGGACGTGGGTTTGGTTACCAGTACACACATCAGACAGCACATAACTCTTAACTCCAGTTCCAGGGCATCTGACACTTCTGTGGGTACTGGCACTAATGGGTGTACATTTATACACAAGCATACACACATACACACACACCCAAAATAAAAATAGATAAATCTTAATAAAAAAAAAAAGAAAGCCATCAATACTCATACATCCCTAATAGACTACACTCTAAGAAATGCAAAGAAATCCTATGCATAATTATTAACTGTTAATAGAAACAATAAAAAGCCGAATTAATATAAATAATATTTGTGGTCATTTAAAAATTTACAGGACAGAGGCTACAAGAGGGCTCTAGTATGTAACAAAACTTAATGCATACAAGAAAATAGGAAAATCCACATTAATAATTTTCTATCTTACTGACTTGTTTTTTTTTTTTAGCATGATGAACAATACACTGTACTGGCAATAGTTCCAGCAAAGGAAGGAGACAACTTAAATACTATTTGCCTCAACAAAATTCCCAAAAGTCAACAATCTAATTCAACTTTTACCACTGCACCCAAAACAAATGCCACATGAAAAGGATGTGATCCTAGCCCTCCCCCTGCCAATGAAAGCCCACAAGACATCAACCTCCTAACATACCAAGTATACAACCCACCAAGATGATTTAAAAAAAAAAAAAAAGAAAAAGAAAGGGAGGGAGGGAGGGAGGGAGGGAGGGAGGGACGGAGTGAGAGAGAGAGAGAGAGAGAGAGAGAGAGAGAGAGAGA